CAGAGAGATTGAATGAGAGAGAGACAGGCAGAGAGAGAGATTGAATGAGAGAGAGCGCGCGCGAGAAATTCTGACACGTTCCAAGCAAAGCTGAAGAAGCGGCGCTACGATAGTACCTTGTTGTGAAATGTAACAAATCGGAAAACCTACGGAGCGGGATACAGCGGATATTTTAGCTGTCACTTTCCCTTTAAAAGACTCTAATCAGTCCTACAGTACCCCAACGAGCTCGCCGTCTCGCCACCAGCCAAGATAGTACTGACCAATGTTTGGTCGTGAATTCCCGGGCTAAGCCCACCCAATCCATCCGGTAATAGATTTCGTCCAGCTCCATCCAGTGCTTTACCCAACTTTCCTGGCTCCTCCCCTAAAAACCCCTTCCCTTTGCCGGCCAGTCCTTTTCCGCCAATGTCCACCTCCAATCCTCAAAAATTTGGGTGCCGGGATGCGTTAAAGGGGGATGGAAGAGGAGCAGAAGGAGCAGAAGCTTCCTCGGGCCAATTCGATTCCCACAGCTTTGCCCCCCATTCGATGGGGTCGGCCCCGGCTGAATGGCCCTGGGAAATTGAGTGCCCAAAAACTACGGGGGGATGGCCAAGTTGCCGGAGCGGGAGGAACCCCTGAGATTGGGTGGGGCTGTGGGGTTGAAAACGGAGCGGCACACTAGATTGGTAGCAAGTTCAGCAGGACATTCGAGGGGTTCAGACGGCTTAAAGGGATAGTGACATCTAGAAATTCGGGTAAACACTTACTGTTTACTCCGAATACCTTGAGACTTATCTTAAAGGTATAATACTAGCTAGGGACGCTAAAAATCGGTTTCACCGGCAACTAAATTATTTGTATACATTTTAAAGGCATTTTGACAGGGAGAAATTGGCCACCGGACCGACCGCTTACAGCGAAAGTTTCATGTTTGTCACTAAAGGGGAGTTATAACCGTTAAAGAACGACTAAGCGGATAAAGAAATTAGTTATAAACATTTTAAAGGGATGGTGCCATCAAAGAGTTTGGCTGTAAACTTACTGCGTGGGGTAAAATTTTATGATTTATCTTAAAGTACCATCTGGGCATTTTTTAAATACGCAAACAGCTCTAAAAAAGGACAGACTTAAGGGGGATTGTAACACCCAGAAATAGATAATATAAGCCAGATAATTTATTTAGGCGGATGCTGTCAAAAATCAAGAAATTGTTGGCTCCAAAAATGACGATCCATCTCTCAATACTTGATTTGATGTTCAGGTACAGTACCCCAAGGTATCGGCTGGCTATGGTACAGTACCTTTTGAAGCCTCAAAAATTTTGTTAAAATCCGAAACTTACCATAAAATATCTTGCGATAAATCCGATCGACCCAATGAAGCGTCGCCGCAAACCAGCCAACAATAAAATCCATCTCCAGAATTCACTTGTAGTTCTTCAAAATATTTGCTAGTCAGTCTCCAAATTCACGTCCGATCTCCGATTCACTGGCACAACGCCAAGTAGTGCTTCGAATTGGTCGTCTCGAAGGGATTAGTCAACAGCGTGGGTCAGAATTTAGGGTTGCTGGGGGCGCAAAATAGAACCCGTCAGGGGTGTGTGGAGGTTTTTGAAGAAGTTTGAGCGTCGTCTTTTGCTGCGATTCTCGACTTTCCCGAAAATGGATCATGGGGAGGAATGCTTGAGGGGAAATTGGGTGAAGCCGCGTCGCAGGGCAACTTCGAAATTTCTTTTGAAAAGGGGAAAGCTAGACGCGGTGCACGGGGGGGGAACATCTTTTCAAAGGTCGCAAAGGTTTTTGTTGAATAAAGTGGGGTATTCAGAGCAGTTGAAAAAGTTTGAAGAGCATCGAAATTTGGTTGGCTAGAGTCTGGGGCGATAAGGATTGACATAACAATTTCACAATCTCACGATGTATATTCTTAAAAAATCGCGTATTGTCACGGTGCTGGGCTGTTAACAGGGGGGGGGGGGGGGGGTTTAGCAGGGAGAACTAATTTTTGTCTTTGCGACGATACCTAACAGTTGAATATGTTCTTTATAGTAATATTGTATGGTCTTTCGTGAGTTTTTGACCGCTACAGACATATAAAAAATATTTGTCAACGTTTTCCACTGTTTTGGGCCATTTTTCATAGCATTTGGACCAAGTCAAACCCTACCGAAAAAACTCTACTTTTCTGATTTTTTATATATAAAAAATTGTATAAAATATAAATTAATTCTGATTCTTACTTTATTCAGTTTTATTATTCTTATTTAAAGGATCTATATATTATAAACTTACATAAACACGGCACAACCTTACATAACTGACCCTGCCAAAATTACATATTTTTGGACCTTAACCCTTTTCGATATCCTTTATTTAGCATTCCATCTCCATCTCCCACCCGTTCCTATTCTGCACGCCATCAAGTCCAAAGCACAAAGCATTTCGGCAGAGTTGGTCACCTCCGAAAAAACCGAGTTTCTCCCCACTTGTGACCCTGTGGCCGACGCACAAATCTCCACCAATTTGCATGTAATTTCCAATTTCTCTTCAACTTTTTCTCCAGGGGCTCCCGGAGGGCGACGAACGTTTCCGTGAAAGAGACAGAAAATGGAAAAAACGGAAGATGGGTGTTTGGGGGAAACAAACAAAATTTTTGGGATTATTGAGGGGGTTGCAAGTTGCGGGTTGAACAGCTGGAGGTTATTTAAATGCTGTAAAAGAGAGGAACGTTATTTTAATAAGCTATAAAGGATAGATAAAGAGCTGTTCGTATCTAAAGGGGACGGCAGCTTGGAAAGTTGCAGCCAAACGCCACATTACGCACCTTTCCGTCCGTCGACGTTATACATTCTTAAAGGGATGCAGACGGCATAGACAATCGGTTACGCGCGGAAAAGAAAATGTCTCTGCGTCTTTCCCCTGGGCGCGCTCTCTCCCCGGTTGGCTACTTGCCAATTTGTTGATGAGGGGGGGGATCGACACATGCCGTCGGCAGCCCTTTAAGCGGATTTGACTTGATTTATCACATAAGTAATTTATATTCATTATTTTTAGCTGGAGCTAAAATTTGCGGTAATTTTTTTTTGATGCTTCTGCGAATGGCGTTGACGGCAGTGCGAAAAACTAACGAAAACCCGATAACTAGCTTGATCACCCAATTTTTCAGGGCCTTTTTCGTTTTCCTATAATTCTTTTTCATTAAGTTATTTTAATCGATAATTAAAGACCTCGGATATTTGCATCTAACTCCTTGTGGTCACTAACTCCAGTCATGCTTTCACCTTCGAGAAACTCATTTCGAAAAAGTGACTTCCGGAGCCATGCTTTTGGAAAATACGATCGTCACCGCCGACATGCCTTGAAAATAAAAATCCCCGATTTTTGAGTCCGATTCAGTCGGAGGAAACCGGATCCGAGACCTCCCGCGAAGCAACGATTTGCTTGACAGGGCCCCCGGCACATCTTCAAGTCGACGAGACAACATTTCCAGGAGGGGAGCGGGAGCGGTAGGAGACTTTCGTTTGAAGCCCCCCCTCCTAGCCCCAAACCAGGAGCAAACAACGAGCAAAAACCCAATCCCGATCCCCCCCCCACCCCACAGCGCCCGCACGGTGTGACACCTCACACACCTACGAACGGATCGTCTCGTCCCCCCTTTCTGGACACTTTTTGCCCGTCGTTGGGACCATCCCTTGGGGCTTTTCGCCTTGGGGCCCGACAGTCCGCACACGAACACAAAAGTTGCAAACGAGGAAATTTGCACAGCCGGTTTCTTATGTGCGATTCAGATACGCGCCCGGAACTCCGGGGTGTCCCCCGTTAAGTCGCAAAAACTGGCAACTACAAAGAATCAACAAACCACCGGATGTAAGATATATTTTGGGAAGTTGCCAAAAGAGGGGAAAGAAACAGGTGGGATGAATCGGAATCGAAGCTAGGGCCGTCGATTTGAATCGATTAGCTTCATATACCTAAAAATTGTCTAGTGAAAGGGGAAGTATTTGAACAATTTGCAATCTAAAGTGAAAAATATGTTAGTAACAGACAGAAAATTTGTTTCTTAATTCGCATAAATTTTTTACAGTCCTATAAATCTACAATAGCGCAGTGGGGATATTTAAAGGTATGAATCTCGAGGCTTAGGGTATGAATTTAATGGGCTTGTACGCTTCAGGACACGCGTTTTTTTTGAAAAGATACAGTAGTCGGCGGTCAAGAAGCTTCATAACAAATTGATCCGAATAGTTCTAAAGGGATTTCGATGCGGAGCCGATGAAGCCGCTATGAAACAAAGATGCAACTTTCACAAAATCGAAAATATAAATGGCTATGATTTTCTCAGAAATATTACTATGACTTGGCTAGGCTAAATAGACCGAATCCAAAAGAGACAAAATCTCAAAAAATTATTCTTGACAGCGAGGTATGAAAGAGTGCGGGATAACGACTTACCGATTGGTGGCCGCGATTCCATGGCTGTATGCTAAAATCCACAAGACCTTTGCCTTCACAGTTCCTTTAATCCATCCACCCGATGCGTCTCGACCGTACTTGGCCAACACCCCCCACCTTCGGGCCGATTTTTGGCCGACACCCACAGTCCCAAAATGGAGCTGCCAACCCCCAACAAACCCAGACAATCCCCCCAATTTTTGAAAGCTCCCCTGGGGGCCATTGAACTGTCATGGCGCACAGGGGGTTGGCCGAACTGGGGCGGTGTTCGGAGGAGCCGAAGGGAACGAGGGGGGCGGCCCGTACAAAAGGGCCCTCTCAACGACTGGGCCCCAAGGCCTCCAAATACGAGGAGCCTCCATAGCCTCGGGCGACACCCTCACCCCCCTTTCCCCTCCATCTTCCTTTTCTGAAGACGAAGCTTCACCATCTACCCCTCCACCACACACCCCAATACGACACCCCACAACCATCACAATCCCCCCGATTCCATTCACTCACACCCCTCACCACCACCACTTCAATTTATTCGACGCCATAGCACCTGGTGGCCTCGATTTGTAAAGTATGCTCAGGTGGGTGCTTTTTTGAGAACCTGCTGGTATAAAATTAGCGTATTGTTTCTAAAAGGAGCATCACTTTAACGTGCGCCGTTTTAAAGGGACCACGGTACTGGACTGTAAACAGGGGGGAAACAAATTTTCGTTTTCCCCACGATACCTACCTGTTATGTATAGTGTACATTCATAATGTTCTTAGTCGTTTTTGATTCCTAGAACATTACAAAAAAAAATTTATGTTTCAAAATTCGAAAATTCTTACCTTTTTGCTCATTTTTCATACATTGTTCGCCAAAAAATCAAGCATTCACGAAAATTTTTATACTTTTATATGTGATAGTTTTATATCCAAAGACTGTGTAAATTACTATAAAAATGGCTTAAAATAATTTTAATATAAACAGGGGAATACTCGGAAAGTTAGCTTCCCCCTGCTAAAAATCCCTCACCCCTGTTAACAGCCCAGTAAACTACAATATACAAACTAAAATATTCTGCTATTCCTGCTTTAAAGGGGTTGTTCTACAATCTTGCGTTTCTATTTTTAGCTTTGATCATGGAGCTACAGTAACATAGCGTCCATCTTTTAGATACTGGAAACCGCATAACTTGTAGTCGTTGGCTTACCGTGTGCTGTATCGCATCGTAACAATAGCTTTTCAAATAACGTATCACTATCATTTTCTACCCTGACGTCTCTGATTCTGAGAAACCCCGGAAAGGGTGTGAATTCCCGAGCTAAAAAAGCTTCTCCCCCCTTTTGAGCATAGTCCGTCTGGCGGCCCGTCCTCGAGGTGTGGGAGTTGCGGTCGACAAAAAAGGGCGAGCGGGCCCCTTATTTCGGGTGTGCGACGTGCTGACCCCAGCGTTGAGAGTGTCCACCCTCTAGACCACCCCGGCCGCGCCTTTATCTCGTAGCTGAATCCCGGAAGATGGGAGGGAGACCCCGAATCTTTTGTAGACAGTACGATTACGTAATCCGCTCTGGGGGTTGAGCGGGTTTTAAAGGGGTTGGCAAGTCAGATTTATGTATAATTGGATCTGGGCTTTCCCTAGAGCCTCATGCTAGCTACTCATAGCTACAAACCTTCGTGTGTCTAAAAAATCCACAGCTCTGCCCTGTCAGTCCCTTTTAAAAATCTGCATACTAGACATCTAAACCTTTGTGCAATTTAATTATCAGCGAAAATCCAGTTAGTAGGCGACATCTATCCTCATGCCTTGACTATCCCTTTAAAAATCGGCAAACGACATATTCAGATTTCCAAATTTAATGATCAACGAAAACGTTTGCTATTCGACAAAATCTACGGTCGTACCTTGCCGGCCCGTTTAATAAACTTTCGAATACAAATTCTAATTTTAAAGCAATGTAATAAGCTTAAAATCAATCTTTGTAACTTGCTCGCCCTTTAAAAAAAATTCAAACTACAATTTGAAAACCATTACATTACCAGTTAAAATTCTAAATTTACCCGAAACCTGATACATTTGCATAAGGGTATAATGGCCAGATAAGGGGGGTGTGCTTCCCGATGATGATGATGATGGGGTGCGCTTGAGAATCCTGAACTGTTGACACAATGACCCCCCGGCGCAGCGGAAATGTTGGCAAAACGCGTTTTGAGTGGCCTTCAGGCCCACGTGGAGTGAAAGTCTATAGGGACAAGTGTGAGGGTGCGGAAACTGTAGCCTAGGGGCGTATTTTCGAAAGTTATACTACAAACTAGTCGCGTGATTGTCAGTAATTCTTTAAAATAACGAAATTTTAGTTAATAGGCATGTTTTTTTGTAAATAAATAAGTATAAAAGTATCGGAAAATACATCTAAATTTACATTCTTTATTTTTTCAGCCAAGTGATGCTCGTGTTAACATTGCTGGGGGCAGCGGTGCGAGGCCAAGAGCGGAAATGGGAATTCCTGCAGCCGAGGCCAGTGGCCCAGGTCCAGGCCAGCCCAGGTATCTACGAGGTGCCGCCAGGTAGGGAGCCCATCAACCGTTTTTCGGCCTTTTCCTTCCCATTTTCGGGTGGCGGGTACGAGAATTAAAAAGCATAATCAAATCTAAAAAGGAAAAAAATCTAGTGTGATTCAAATCTATTCAAAATTCGAAATTCGGATGTAATGCGGAAGCTACATAAAAAATAGGTGTGGGCGATCCCATTCGCTTTGCATCCTAATTAGTATTGTAATAAGGTGTAAAACCTTTAGTTTACCACTTTCAAATCATTTATTTTTTTCTATATATTTTCATCTTCCAAATAATTCTCGTACCTGCCGGCACACACCTAGAGAAGAATGAAAACTGGCATGACGATGGGCTCCCTATCTGCATCTTTATCGGGCTAAGGGCTTCCCTAAAACGCGGTATACTTTATCGTATTCAGCCACCGAAAACGCGTTCCCCGCGTGGTACCACATGCCTCAGAAGCAGCAGCAGCACGCGCCCGCCTATCCCTATGAACGCCCGCCCAGCAACCAGCAGGTTTGGCTTCACCTTGTCTTTAAAAGCTCGTTAATATCTGAAAAATTTTGGACACTGCGTATCAAATTATTTCCTAGTTTTCATTACAACTTTAGTTTTTAACCAATAAGTTCGACCCCCGAATATCGGATTTTTTCACTTCCTGGTACCTTTAAAGAATGATAGCTCCTAAGCAAGTTCAAACTCAAGTTCCAGCTCCTTTCACTATCCCTGATTTTCAAAGCAACCCCCTTCTTTAAGGTAGAGAGCTCATTCCGTGGTTATCCAACCTTCAACCGTCAACCACCATCCCCACCCCAGCAGACCGCCTTCGAAACGCCACGCCGCCCATTCCCGAGCACGGCCGACGTGAGTGCCACCCGCCGAGCCCTCCTCCAAGCCTCCACCACCCCATCCGCCCCAACATCCCTCTGGGAGTCCCTCCTCCAGCTCCGCCGTGCCTTCCCCTTCCGGGGAGCCGACGCGCAGCCTAGTAGAACAATTCCCTTCATCCCTGCGCTACCCCCGGCCCCTGAACGTCCCGCCGTCGTCGAAACGGCTCAGCCCCCAAAAAGAACCAACCCAAATCCAGAGCGGAACCCCGTAGATCCCAATTTTCCTAGCTCGCCACCCAATAAGTCGAAATTCTCCGGCTACAAACTTCAAAGACCCCAAGCTCCGCCTCAAAACTCGGCCCCAAAATCGCGATTCCCATCCCTCCCCAACCACCTAGTCCACCCTCAAATTGTCCCCATCCAAATCCCGGCCCGCCCGATCCCAGAAATCTACCGGCAAAACTCTAGCCTCACTCAGCACCGCTGGGTGCCCCTCAAATCCCAGCCCGGTCAACCGCCCGCGCTCCCCCAGAACCAAATCATCGTCGTCGGGCCCGAACCCGCCGGCCGGAACGTCACCGAGCTGGTGTACGCTAGGCTAGTGTCCATGTGCCCGCAGTGTAACACGGATGGGTTGCGAAGTCTGATGCGCTCGCTAGAGAATTTGTATACCGCGCGTGATTGGTTGTGGCTGGGGAGTCAGGTTTTTATGAATAATTTGGCGCTGTAAAACTAGCCATATTCTCTAAATTATGATTACGCCATTTTAACCCCCTAGCTCTTAAAAGGAAACTAGAAAATAAGCGTGACAAAAACTACAAAAAGAGGCGAGTACGTACCGCTACTAAGTACGCTTCTACTCCTTGCACTAATGGTGACCTCCCCAAACGCTATTTTTAGTCGCGCTACTACCCCTTTAAGCCACAGTATACAAAACCCCTAAACCCTCATAAAAAACCGGTAGACCCCGCCCCGTATTTTATACTATATTTTTGTATAGTCCACACCCCAGAAAAATTCGGTGCCCTATCACTATCCTGTCGGGAACTTTTGCCACTGTCACTTTCTAGTACCCCCCAAAAACCTCGATTTTCCATTCCGTTTCCATCCAAATTCCCACCCAAAAACACCCATCGAACCGATGGAATGGAGAATCGAAGACACTTATTTATGATTTTTGTTTTTTTTTAGTTCCACCCCCATGTGCACCCCCGGTCTCGAATTGTGATACTCCAATGCCGTCGGGGCCGTTTCACATTTCCTCATTTCGGGTAATTCGTCGCTGCAGGCCAAAACTAGGGGAAATTGTGAAGCGTGCCACGATGACGTTGGAGTAAACGGTTCAGCTTGTTCGCGTCGGGACCTCAAAAGCAAAGCATTATTTCAGAGAATTTCAGAAATCCTAGGTTTTTATTTCTTTTCCAAAACCGATTCACGGAAATGGGATCGCCTTTCTAAAGCTTTTACGCTTCAAAAATTGCAACCGCTATCCTCCTATGCTTGTTCTATTTATTTTAAAGAAAGCTTGCTAGCGCTTCCACTGGGCTTCAGTTCTCGGGCTATCCTCTAGGCAATTTAGATAGATGACCGGACTGCTGTCGAAAAGTATCACAAATTATTGCTGCGGAAACGAAAACCGGAGCCCGGGGCCACGTCTCGTCCAGGCCATACTGTACCTCCTAAATTACGACCACCATCAGGGCACCGCCCCTCAACAAGCCTGCCACGCCCCGGAGAGCCGCTTGTAACTCCGGGCACTCAGAATCTCACGAGATTCCGTACCGTACGCCCGCTCGTAAATAAAACACGAGAAAGGTTGCGCTTGAAAAAGATCCAGACCGAGGCCACGGTCGATCCCTTAGAATCTTCAACACAAGAACGGACAACACAAGTTGTCATGGAGATCTATCAAGGGACCACCGCGCCATCATTCCCTATCACTAAGGAATCCAGCCCTTGGCATCGGCTTTCGTGGACAAGAAAATCTGAAAATAGGAACTTGACTACGACAACTACTACAGTCAGTCCTGTCACCCTTCGTCCACGGTTCATCTGCAACAAGACCTTGACCAGCGAAGAGACCAAGGACCGAGAAAAACGGCCGCTTATTGGCCCATTCAAACCGGTCAGCCGAACTTCAGGCAACCTTATCTGGCGACTCACCTCACCAGTGCCTCTGCTGCCCAGCCAAAAAGAAGTCGTGAAGCCGCCTACGCACTGGACCGTCTTCGATTTCATTTCTTGGGTTCGCTTTTTGGGCATCCGCACAACCCGTGCATGCACAACGTAGTATAACGCTCCGCTTGAGGCTAAGAACACCTTTGCATGCACCTGAAAATTAAATCATTACACCTGAAAAATCACACAAACGTACGTACACTCCCTCAAAATTACAAAATAAACCACCACCACGAATGTGACGACTTCACGACACTAATACCCCGAGAAAGTCGCTGCTTTGGTACAAGATCCCTTTTAGCCGAACGCCGAGCTCTTCAACGCGATCCGCGACGTCGTGAACAAGTTCAAGGCCTCGCTGGATGAGTCGGGCCTCGACCAGGATGTTCGACAGATGGGCCGCCAGCTGCAGAACACGTGGCACCAACTGCGAGCAGGTAACCGCCCAGGTATAATTCTGCACGGCGGGGAATTGTGGTGGGTTGGCCCGATCCAAAAGCTAAATCTATCTAAATATCTTCTACGGCCAATGCACCTATAAACCCCTACGAAAAACGATTGGATTGTGCTGTCTGGGATGCTATGGGGAGCCAACAAAAATTATTTCCGGGCCAATTGCAAAGACTCTTATTTCTTTTTAGCTCTTGAGCGCACTGAAAAGCGGCGGGCTGGTTCGTTTGAGCAAAGCCTGAGGGACTTTTCGGGGTTTCAAACGCATGATACTTGAATCTATCAACCTGCAGCCCTAGAAACCTAGCCGTAAATCTGCAAAACAGCAGCAGCTTGACGAGAAGCCGTTTGCTAGCACGCACCTTTTCCCTGTCACTTTTGCCAGCGCATCGTGGAAACAGCAAAAACATGGCGCTCTAGGTCTTGATCGCAGCTGGAACGCTTTGAGATTAAGCGCCGAACAATCGCTACACCCAACCGTCGTCCCGTACAGCCATCAAGGTTAGATCGACCCGGGGGGGGCTTTAGAAATATAATTGCCTGCGCTGGGTAGACTTATGATTTTAGGACCCGGTGGCGTTAACGAGCAGCTCTCACAAATGTTCGCTCGGTCGCAATCCCAAGATGCGCCAAAGAACAAACTCTAAAAGACGGGGAGCTCAAATCCGACAAACCCTTCCAATGTCATTGGAAACCTACCGTATGTACTAAGTACATGCCCTATTACATCAGTGTGCGCTTACATGCTCGTGATAAATCGTTTTTGATGCTACGTGAATCAGCACGAAAACCTAGGAAATTAGTGATTCACCGGTTTAGGCATGACGAAAACTAAGTGAGTACATCATGAGCAAGATCAGAAGATACAATGTGACAAGAAATAAGAGACCAGTTCAGCACAGGACATCATTATACACTGGTAAGTAAGTAGGCAGGGAAACCAATATCACAACCTGTCAACAGGGGTGTAGGGGATGGTTAGCGTGGTGTGCTCGGCGGGGGCAGCAATTCGGCGGAGGAGCGTCGGCGTGTTTGGTGGGGGCAGTCCAGCATCGGGCTAAAATGAAAGGTTGTCTAGGGCAAAAATGTCAGGTAACACACTTCCGCTTCAGTTTTGGACACACTACAGAGGACTGATAACTTGCGCTAAAGGCTCATACGCAGAATCTCACCTCCGAGAGAGCATAATAGCCGCAACCATCGCTTCGATAACCAGGGATCAGCACGTCAAAGAAATAAGTCGCCGGTACCAGTGCTCGTATCTAAAGAAAAACGTCATGAATAACTCAAGTTAACATACCTCGTGTATATTACCGTTCCCGGGTATCAAGTGCACAGCTTGGTCCTCTGGCGTAAGTTGGCGCTGGCCTTCAAAGAGGGCCTAAACAGACAATAAGACTGGCAACATTTCTAAGCTTTACCTCAACAATGCCGCCTTCCGGAGGCGCAGCGCGTAACTTCGTTGAAAAAGATGTTATCTAAAAAATCTCGATAAATAAAAAAGGAAAAACGCGCCTCGATTTTGCCCTGAATCACTTTGACAAATCCGCAGAGACCCGGATGGTCGTGGAGTGGAATACGTTCTTCGTTGCCGCGGATACCAAAGACGGTAGCGTTGAACTTGGGACCTTCGTATACCTGGAAATATCCGATTAGCCAGAGCGAGAAACCGCATATCAGAAAAAGTTCAAAAATTTTCCCTTACCCAGGCGTGAGAGGTCGGTGCCGGTGCCTGCATAAACTGCTTTATGTTGGGCAGCGTTATCTGGAAAAGAATTAGAACTTGAAATAAGAAAATTCGTACCCCAAGAGTCTCAATAGTGACACTAGACATCATTTGCTGAATCTCGTCGATCGTCTCTTGAAATAAGCGGGTTCCGCTACCCTCTCCATCTGCCCCAAGTGGTCACTAATCGCCTGGATCCTTCTCAAAATTGCACGCAACGCTGGTCGATCCATTTCACCTAAAGAACAAATTGAAAGCTTTACTTGATGGTAGGTTTTCCTCCTCCAATGACATCGAATCGAAATCGTATTCCATTGATGCGGACACCCTTCCAAACCAAAAAAGTTCTTTTATTACCGACAGCACCCATAATCGTGAAAGGCACTGCGTAAAATGCAAGTGTTCAAACTGACAAACGTTATCACAGTTGTACTATTACAATGTAAAATCAGCGCAAGCGAATGACCACAGACCCAGATATCACAAGGTGGGAAAACAGACCTGTTTTGACCGAATTATAGAATTCACAAAAAAAAAGTTTGTAACAGCAACATTTTCAACAACGAAACAGGAAAGGGATTGTTCAACAGATAATTATGCACAAGGAATCTGGAAACAAGATTATGCATGAAACACAAGAGGATGGTTGGTCCCTGAAAAATGAGAAGATGCGAGATTCAAACTAGATATCCAAGGCTTTGATCGTAGCCGAATTGGATGTCCGATTTTGGGTCGGGATGGAAGGTGCTCCATAAACTGCTCCGGCAATCGATGACATTCAAACAGTCGGCTTGAACTCGATAGAATTTCGCCACCAAACCGACGAAACTCTCCTAAAAAATATAATGAGAAGATCAATGCGCCAAACCTCGTCCTCGGGATCGAACAGTGGGAAGTTAACTTTGCCAAGGGTCCGATTGTCATCCATTACAGTCACGGACCAACTGCAACCTAATTTTGCAAAATTTCAACAAGTTTTGCTTACACTCCGGTTTGGTTAGACTTCAGCCTCGTCAAGGATGGGAGCGCCAGTTCCGCAAATTGTTGGCCATAAATCGAATCATATGGCGGGAGGCGTTGTGTTGCCACAAGCGCTTCTGAAAAAAATTGTTATTAAGAGGCCCAGGTTACCTTGCTCATCACGCCATTCGAATTTCACAGCAGGAGACGTTTTGTTGGCGGGCACGGTGCTAGCTTCGCCGGGGACTCGCTCCCATAGCAGCAGGATTGTCGGCGCTCCCTTCTAAATCAAGGCAGGTGATGGTAAAAATGAAATTTCACCTGGTCAACGTAACCCGTGTAACCTCGAAAGACTTCTTCCTTGTGGTCAATCGATACACCCATTCGTACACTCTTCAACGAGAAGCCATCAGTTACAGCAGGGTTCTCGACGAATGAGTCGTGGCTACGTTGAGCGAGCAGTTCAATTGTCTGGCCATCTTTTGTCTAAAACAGGACGTAGTCCGGTATCGTTCACAAAAACACACCAGTATAGTGAAGACCAGCTGCCAGTTAGCCTCAAAATGAGCTCTGTAGACGTGAACGGCTTTCAAAGATCCGAATTCCATGTCTCGTTGACTCGACATAGCCAGTAAGCGCAGAGCCATCAAAGTGTACGGTTTTGCTGAAATGGCAGATAGAAAAAAATAGTATAGAAGACTTACAATAACCATCGAGAGCAGCTTCAAAGATATTGAGATGCGAAGTGTTGAACGATGGTGATCGTGTACTCAGCAATTCTGGACGATCTCTGAAGCAAACTCTTTTTCGTATAGCTAAAGAAACCTCATCGCTTGTGCTTCAGCCGCCGCGATGGCATCCACGTCAATCAGATTTTCAAACTTCCGGGCCAGGTAATAGACTTTTGACTTGGCTTTCTAAAAGCAATGAATATGGAATGAAAAAAGCCGATACCTCAAGCTCAAATTTAGTCATAGAGTCCTTGGTGAAAACCAAGGGGGAGCAGCCACACCAATCAACGACCTAAAAGCATAATAATACATATCCAAACCATTTATACCTTTTTAAGAGATTGGCATCGACAACCCTGAGCCCTGTTCCAATTTGTCAAGCGCAAGTTGCCTGTTATAACCTGATCGCAATAGATCGAGTTGGCAGCAAGCTATAAATAGGAGCTTTGGAGAAGGTTAGAATCATACCGTATGGAAGAAGCTCTCCACTGGCAGAATAATATTCGAAAATAATGTTCGCAGTTTTGCAGGAAGCTCTTCATCGGAAATCGAATACCTAAACGCGAAATCAAATTGACCAACAACTAACGTACATGGCAAATTCTTTGTGCAGAATCACCCAATCCGAACCGCCATCGATACGTAGCCCACGAGGGAACTCTTCTCTGAATTTAGCTTGAATGGCATCAACTTAATGCAATTACCTTCTGCCGACCCTCCACATCCGTTCTTCGCACTCAACAAACACGAATTCAAAGCCCTGCTTTTGAATAAAACGAGCAGCATTGGATCCATGGCTTGCCAAAAAGGAATTGCCGCGATTTCTAAAAACTTTTGATAGAAAACCCAGAGAATCATTTACAGTGTAAGCTGCGTTTCTAGCTCAGCCAGCGTCATCACCGGGAAATCGGACTCGGAAAGATTGACGAGGAAGTCCCATGCACCAAATTCTAAAAGACGTTGTGGTCCTCATAACAATCTTTACGTGGAATGCTGATCGTAGTCCGGATGGCGTGCATCATCATCGACAACAATGAAGCTCCACCCCAAATCGTCGATCGGCCTTCCATTTCCACGTAGAGATTCGGCAATTTAGCGGCCAGCTCACGCATTTCTAAAACGTGGTTTCCAAAAATTGTACGAGATGTTTACGGCTGATCATGTAAGTTTGCCTCTTATCGACATGGACATAATAGAAGTGGTGTGGGGAATATATAGCCTTCAAAAGACGTCGCACCTAAATTAAATACAAAGTTAACGGCCGCTAAATTAATCTACCTGTCTGGTGTTCCTTCCATTGAGCTGCAACACAAACATGATCTTCACCACATCCTCCTTTTTGAGTCGGCTAGTCTCCAGGTATTTCGGGCGGCGTACCAGCTGCGCTGCTTTCACTATAACGAAACAAAATTTCAGCAGACTGATTTTCCAAACCTATCAGCCCAGTTCTGTAGATGTCGACAGCTTCGAATCCTCCACAATACTCTGTATTGTTACCGGCGCAGCTGTACTCAGTGCATCTAAACGAAATTGGTTCCTGAAATTTTCATTGCCTGGCGCTGTCGATCACGTATTGGGCCGCAAAGTCATCCCCACAGAAACATTCCACGCCGTATTCAAGCCCTAAAAAGGTATCAAGAATCCTAAATAAATATTTACCGTAATACAAGTAGCCGGCGCGGTGGCAATGGCTCTGGCACTTTGCGTGCGAGTTGTCGGTAAACTCGTATTTGTGAGCCTTCAGTTGTCGATTGGCACCCTTATCGAGAAAGCAGCCTATGGGTTGGCCAGCAAGCACGGTGTCTGGAAAAACTCATATATCCCGAATCATCACGTGTGTTTTACCGAAATTGTGGCAGTTGCTTAGTGGCATCTTCTCATGGAACGTTTTGTTCTGCAAGCGACAAGCCGCATCTTCAATTTGCCGTCGGCATTCCTCTGTTTTCACCTAAATAGAATAAATCAGTTTAGCGAAAGTATCCAACCCGATCCAACGCCTTTATTGCCAGCTCGCCAAGGCCCTCTCTCTGGCATTCTTGAGGATGACTGCTCTAAAAAAGAGTTAGCAAAGCGCAGCTGATTCTACCTGAACAGGCTGCGGGAATTCGGCATTGCTCCGGGTCTGCACGTAGTAATAGATCAGTGTAACTAAAAACTAATTTCTTCAGCAAAAACTCAACTTACGATTTGTAAAGAAAACCAGCAGCGTGAAGAAAACGGTGACGACGGTCATCCCGAACGGGCTACCCGCCCTCAAGCGGCACAGTAATTTTGACATAACTAAAAATTCGGTTGCAGTAAAAAAAGTATATAACAGACCTTACGTCAACACTCGTAAAAGGGAGGCGAAAAATCCATGCGCGGACAGAAGCCGGTGGTCGGGTGGCAATAAACAATTGGGGGCAGTGACTTTCGGGGCGCCCTCTTCCAGTTTGTCCTGCAAAAAAGACCCGTAAACTTGGAAACAGATGCTAAGCAGGGGTGAACGAGTAGAAAAACGAGGGCTCCGAATGAGGGGTGTGCCAGCCGGTCAAATTCTTATAATGGACTTGAAAAACGTTGAGGATTCTCGTTAAAACAACGCGGTTAGAAACAGAAAGTCTAGAGTTGTAAATATGCAGAGAACTAAGCGATGGTTTGGGAAAGTTAACTGATACCGGTTTAGAGAAACGTTTATAGCAGTTCTAAAGCTAGCAGTTTTTCAAGAACATTTCCCCCGTCTCTATACGCGCTAATCCATAGAATCTATCGCCAAATAAATCAATTTCAGTTTGATTGATTCATTTTAATACAAAGTTTTAGTTTTTTTTACCTTCATAGGTTCATGCTGACATTTCCAGTTTTTCTTTTCCGCGAACCGACCATGGTACCAAAAAACAGTCCGAGCAAAAGTGTACGCAAAACACCGCAATTTCGCGCCGTAACTGTTTACTTACCGGCCCTTTCATTTCCAAAAAATTGTTTCTTTACAAATTTTTATGTATTTTACAGACTTCAAAAATTCTTTTTTTTTCAGATTATTGTTCTTTTTCCATCTTTGAAATACCTAATATTAAGATTTAGGCATCTTGATGGGCCAGGACTCGCCTGCGCACTTTAACGGGAAAAATGCCGCTGATTTCGTCGAATTCGAGGCGGATCTGCATTATTGTGATTTAAAGCAACTGGTATCTTATAGTAGAAGAAGGTACATCGTGGTTTAGGTAAAAGCAAGGATACCAGTACCGTTGCCAGCCGGCACTGACGTGGAAGAATTCTTCTCTCACATCGTCACGACGCAGCAGGTTCCTATGCCCTTTCGACAAGGCAAGATTTTTCAGTTCTTGTCGAGTAATTTTGATTTCAGAACTTTCTCAAAAGCTACGGACGTTTTTGAGAAAAGAGCGGCTACGGATCGAGGGCGAAAGAGATGATCTTTTGGTTGCCGAAAAGTTTAATACGGACGTGCTGGAATCACCCTCTGCAAGACAATTCGCGATTGTACGTTGAACATTAGTTGTTTTGCAATTGATTCTAGGAAAGAACACTGGACCATCGCGTTACGACTTCAAAGCTGGCCGATTATTTCACGTTCATCATTGAGAACTCGAGTGCTGAACGGTTGACGTTTCTGATGGACAAAGAAATAGAGATGGGAATTCAGGTTTGATCTTTTTGATAGGTTTTACTGGAATTTTCAGATGAGCACGCTGATTCGGGCAAGAGACTGGGAGCTTGAGATGCAGCGGATGGAATGCGAGAAGGTTGTGGAGAATGTCCATACCGATTCTCAGCCGAACGAGCTGTCTGCGCTGAACGAAAAGATTCGGGTAGATTTGCGTGTTCTAGCGTGAGAGTGTTTTCAGGAGATCCACGAGTCTTACACCAATGCTATCAAGGATTTGGCGGAGAGGCAGCGAGAAGAATTTCGGACGTTGATCACTGCGATTTATGAGCGAGACGAGATTCCGCGTGAACTCTGTGGGCATGCTGGGAATGCGGCTGTGAGCGGGTATAGTTTGAAATTACTTTATTGAGCATGGATGTACAAAAAGTCGGGGATTCCCTGGTCTTGTAGCGCATAATTACTGCTTGTTGTTGGTGAGCTTCGGGGAGAAAGATTTCTGAAATAGGATGATTATTATAGTTTTTGACGCGCTTTATACTTATATTAGATTTATAGTGTGTAACTTTAGTTTATAGATTGCAAGGGCCAAAAACGAACCTTTCCCTTGTTGGATCCCCATCCCCATGCGGCAACAGCTGGGGCATAGGCGGGCACTACTGGTGCGGGGGCAGCGGCCACCACGGGTGCAGCAGCAAAAGGAGCATAAGCTGGTGCGGCAGCGGCAACTGGAGGCCCAATGGGGACGGCTGGGGCAGCAGCCACTGGCAATGTTGGGGCAAGGACCGAGGGGAATGGACGGTAGTAGGAGTAGAATGAAGCTGGGGCTAGCTGAAAGTTTTTGAAGTTGAAAGAATGTAGGAAAGAAAACGTAGAGAATAAGATACCAACATTTGTCGGTGTTTCCTGACGAAAAAACTGACCCAGATTTTTACAAGAACTTTAGTTTACTAAAAGTTTACTAAAAATCGCATTTTTTCGAAATCTGATGATTTTGCAGTCATCTCTAGGCCATTTTGCACCTTATGCTGTTTTTTATATCCCCCTTACCCCTCTTTTAACCCGCTAGGTTTGGAGTAAGCTGATAGACGCTGTACATGTTTTTAGGTTTGTCTCGATAGTAATAACGATGGCATGAATACTTACCACACGCGGCGCGTAGAAAATTTGTCCGCTGGCAACGCCAATCGCCATGATGGTGCACATGGCTCGGAGAGAGCAGCTAAAACACAATCATAGAACATGTAATAGGATAATTAGATAAATTTAGGTGAAGCGAGCGCGCTGGACTACTTCAATGATGCTTAAAACTTACATTTTTCCCGAAAGCATCTCGAACAGTTGGTGAATACCACGTTGTGTGGTGGCCTAGGTTGCCCCCACCCTTTTATACGTGTGGCCCGAATGGCCGGGGCTTTTGACTTTGGCTACCGAGGGCACCCTGAGCACATAGTACTGTTTGGTGTGAGCATGCACTGTCTTGTCGAGAGGGTGCAAATCGGTTGGGGGCCACTGGGTGTGTGTGGGAACTTGTTGGGGAAGGGTCCGCAAATAGTATGATACGCCACAGTCTAGATGCGCATTTCTTCTGCCAGCCACCCATTGTTTGCCTACCACCGCGCTGTGGCACCACGGCGAAATTTTTTGAGGCCATTGGCCAGGTTGATGGGGGCGCTAGGGAGTAGCCAATAAGCAAATTGAATGAGTAGACGCTTTTACTACCGAAATCCAAGCTGCCGAACGCTCAAAAACCGAGATTTGGAATACCGTATACTCAAAATACCGTAATGCCTATTAGCGAAATCCGTAAACCGAAATTCAAATCAAATAGGGTATATCTCGGTATTTTGTGATTCGGTGTTTTGAAATTTAAGTATTTTGAACACCAAATCAATTGATAGCACTCCAAAACCCGATTTTTAGTCTACCTCCCGCTCCCTCCGATGACCTCGAAGAACGATCCCGCTTCGATGAGAGCTTCACGATTTATTTAGGTATTTTTATCTCCAAAATTCGCAGTGATACTGTTTTATTCCAGGCGCGCAAATGAAGACCATGCACAACGTCCGGCTACTGGAAAATCGAAGCCTTTTGAATCGAAAGCTTGGAGGTCAGGTTGAAAATTCTCTCGGTCTAACCTGGTTTAGACAACCCATCTCAACGACTACAATCTTCAATGAGTATTTATCGACGTGGAGAGCTTCATGGAATTATCCTACTGGTTGACAAGGATCCACTGTGGCATAGAAATAAAAGGACAGGTTGGTTTAGCCCCTTCTCTAAATAGTCACTGATTTTAGAATTTGCCCGCCTATGTGAACACTCGACTGAATTGCACTTCGACACTCTTTCTACTCAACTTGAAGAGATTGAGTCGATGGTAATTACCTCTATTGACGCGAAACCCATCTAGACCCGAAAAGCAAATTCTTGGCGCCGTGAAGAAGCTTTGCATAAAGTGGCAAGTGGTGAAAGTTTGCAGGTAAAACAGTTTTGTAACAGCCACTATGATTTTAGACACCTTTTGATGCAGACGAACAACGTGAGGATGGAAGTCTTCTAATAGGAGACTTGTACCTGACACGTCATTCGAGCCTTCTTGACGTCCAGGTTTGTTTTGGATTCAAAAAAATAAGTATCTGTGTTTGCAGGTAGTTTTCCACCTCGTCGTTGATCAATCCATCAAAACAATGGAACTTTCAAGCCGGTAATGTTGTTCACACCTCACTCGTATTGTATTTTCAGGCATCCTTGTTTGGCTGGCTTTCGCAACGTGATCCGAGCATGTGCCCGATTCGGAATTACGACCATCGATATTCCGTTGCTTTTGTCGGAAGATGTTCATCCGGTAAAATCCATTACCTTGATTTAGGAAAAAATCCATTCTTTTAGGAAATGACGCCAGCTTGGTGTCTTCGAAGAGCAGAACTTGTTTTTAAGTGCGTCAAGGGCTACTTGATGGAAGTAAGCCATTTTGCGAAATATTTTTAACTTATTTTAATTGAAGGTATGCAGTTCCGGATGGGGATCAAGCGCGCCCGGTGGCCCAGCAGTCACGCATTCGCCACATTATAACATCAATTTCACATTGCCTGCCGGACTCCCAGCCCCGATTCTCACTCAAATCACTGCAATGTTTCCGGGAATCTTTCAATTGGTCCCTGCTAAAGGTCTGTAATATGATCTTTGTTTTTCTCTGGTGCTTTTCCCGGTTTCTCTGGTGCATGTACTCATATCTGTGATATCACTATGTATAAATGCTGTGATTTTTTACTTTGAATAAAAAGCTATGGGAAATTGTTATGTGCGCTTCGGAGCCCTAATTTGCACGATTTTCGAAAGGCTGTAACAGGCGCTTGGCATTTTGCCTCATTTACCCGGTGAATGCTCGCCAGAATAGTGAGCGTAATTTCAGGTGAGCGTTGTCGTGGCTACCGGCGGGCCCGGGTATTGGCCACTGCCCGGCCGTTGGCTCTTTGTTCGACCCGTTTCGACAAATCGCCGGTTGCACGTCATTGGCGAAGCCCGGCGGGTTGACGCTCTGCTCGGTTTTTTGTTGTACCTATCCGATGATGCTCAATTAGTCGGCTATTGTTAGGGGGTGGTCTGGCTGCGATTCATCCGATTTGGTCTTTCCGCTCGGGTTAAGGTACAGGCATTTCCGGGTTTGTGCTTGCGACCTTTCTTTATTTTATTGGAATTATATAGGGAAATATTTCATTTCACAACACTAGAGATGCGCGTACTCAGATAAAATTCTCTGGACAAGCTTATCCGTTTCTGGTTTTCGATTCGGTTGTCTTTTTTAAGGCCAAAGCGGACTGACAAAGATTAGAACCGTATCCGCTTCATCTGAACTTATCTGAACCAGATTAAAATCAGGCGTAACCTGCCAATAAGTAGAATTATGGCTTCTAGAAAATGTAAATGCCGTAATTCGGCTGGGTAACATTCAAGTATGCCGCAATTTTGAGTATTCCGGTCTTATCCCAGCCAACATCTGAATATCAACAGCCTTAATATAGATCTTGTTGACTGTTTTTCAAATATAACATTATTTGCGGGGGCTGGTGGACAACTCGGACCGATGGACCTCATGACGATATTGCCATTTTGGGGCTTCGGCAGACTCGGGGAATCCTTATTTTCTGCCCCGGGGGTCCCGCCGCGAATTGGCCGCCACTTTTCGTGCCAATGCTCAATGATGATTAGTCGGGAATTGTTCAACTATCGTCGTCGTGCTACGACGACTACTGTAGAGCCGCTTAGAAGAGGTTGGTGATGTTTTGAAACGGGGTATTCGCGACCGTTTGACTGGTTTTTTGTTTCAAGTTATCGCAGCACGCAACGTCCACATCCAAGCTCATCCGCGTGGCATGTAGCGGGTAAAGCCAAGCTACAGGGCTTCAAATCCAACCAATGGAACCAAGACGAAGCCTGAGCCTAAGCCTGAGCTCGGTTTATTTGGCGACCTTCGTTAGATACAACTATCGGTTTAATAGGTCGTAATTATCGAATTATTTACAACCTAATCCAAAAAATTTGGCAACCAAATATTGCAAAATTCGACGCACCCAGTTTAGCTTCAAATTGGCCACTTAATTTATTTTTTACAACTTGTGGTCAAATCTCTGAAAAATCTCGAGAACCTCGGACCCCACCGCTGGGAATTCCGTGATTTGATTTTGAGCTCATTAGCAGCTTTGATGCCCGCGGGTTCCGAATCCGTCTCTATGGCCCCTTTTTACTGTCCAATCTTCCAGGCCCAACCTATCGATCGGAGAGGTTCAAAGAATTTGGCTTGTATTTTGTATTAATTAAGCTAGCTTTTCTTATTATCGTGTTATTAATAATCCCATATTTTGTATTTCCTTTTAATGCCCGGGCAGTGGGTGTGGGTACCTCAAGCGCCGGGCCGCGGCGGGCAGCTGCCAATTTCGTTTCGGCTCCCTCCCTAATTTTTCACCTGCCGCCACATCGCGTCGGAATCGATAGCACGCGGGGCACAACTACAATTCTATTAGCCTTTATGCATTTGATTTCCTGGGACATGGCTCTTTGCTATATGGCCATGACGTTTTTCGGGCGGCTGATGTACTCGAGAGGACGGCCGTAGGAAGCCTAGGATATTGAGGCTTTTACCGAGGGTCCCGCTCCGGATTTGATGCCCTTCTGCTTTTCGGTTAAGCTAAAACCTATGTCTAAGCACCTGCCTGAGCATAAGCAACTTGAGCTTAAACCTAAGCCTAAACCTAAGCCAGGCCTAAGCTTCGATTTCGGTTTGAAATTTTCTCCACTGCTAGAGCTCCGCAAGCTGATCCCAGTGATGTAAGTAACTTTTGCTGACACCGTATCCTCGCAGAGTTTTAAGCGCAAAATTTTGCATTTTTTTCGAAATAAGGCGTTGTAACTACAAACGTTATTTACAGCACCGAAATCAGCCTTTCGAGCTCTATAAGGGTTCAAAAATTCGGATCAGAAACCACTTCCTCCTTCCAAAATCAATGTGCTTATTCGGAAGCTTGAAACCCACTTTTGCCAAAACGAACATCCCATGATTTCCATTTAAGTCCGGCACCTATGATTTCCGTTCTAGCCGATGGAGAAAGCCGAGCCCCGAGGGCCCTAATTGCCTGCCAGGGCCCAGGCGATCATTTCGCCCGATAAGGCTCCAGTGTCGTTTGCCGTTTTTTTCGGATGTACACACTTTTCATAAAAGTTGGATTTGTTTTCAGCTGTGTTTTGAGGGGGATTGTGGGTAGAGGAGTGTAAATGGGGGGGGAGCGCGAACTCGGGGCTCGGTGGGCCGTGCGCGTTTTCCGCAAGACTGGGGCCAGAATCTACTTCCGCCCCCCGAGACTCACACCGTTTTTGGGGGCCACTTCAACACGTTGTGATTTTCATTGGAAATTTTTTAAGTAGATATGTGATTTTCGAGTCTTCCAAGGTCCTTTAAAAGTCTTTTGAGGGATCATAAGTTTCATAGAGACTTAGGTACTATGGCCTTATCGGGGGGAGGTTATTTTCCTTCAAACCGATTTTTTTATTTAAATTGAAGAAGTGTTTCAGCGCGGGGATTCCTAAGCGTTACAAAATTTAAGAAAAAGTACAAAAAAAAATCGATTTTTCGAAGAAAAATGGCGATTTTCGACCAAAATTCGGATTTTTCAAAAAAAAAATAACTTCGAAGTCTTTAGATATTTTTTTCCATTTCAGATAGAGTCAAATTTTACCATAAACACAATTGAAAAGGTATTACTTGTACGAAGCATTTTTCGACTTTTCGGAAAACGTATGCCCCCCCCCGATAATGCCAAAGAACCGTCGATATGTGAGGTTGCTAGGATTCCCCAAATGGTTTCTGCTTGCTTGCCGGGTAGCACTTTTGTTTTTTTTCGGGTGATTCCTGTTGGATAGAAGCCCATCAACTCGTCCTTTCACTCGATAACAGCCCAGCCCCCCCCCGGCCAAATCACAAGTGCACCTCGTCAAATCATTCCATATTGTATTTGCGGGCGCAAAAACATGGTGCGGATAATTTTAGGACGGGTTTTGTTAAAGTATAAGTATAAGGTGCCATTTAGTCACCGTCAGGTGTTTGGTCATTAAAACCAGGGGGCCAAGCTCGTGGAATGGAATCATTTCAGCGCCTATCCCCACCCTTTACCGCACAGATCCCCTCTCCTACCCTACAATTCACATTTTTGTGGATAATTACCATCTAAGAGTCGATTTCATTGAAAAACCGCTCGTCGTTTGCGTGGATAATTAGAGGTGATGAGGGTTATTGATGTGCCGCTCAACATTTCTCGCCCTGCACCCCTCCCGTTTATTTTGGTCACCATATTCGAGACGTTTACTGTAAGGATTGTTTTCCAGTAGCAGCAGAAGATTGTCGGGGGGCATGCAGCGAGGGCATGTTCGACCTGTCCGACGTGCCATTCTTCGTGTACGTGCCATTCCTCGCTCTCGCCTTTTTTGCACTGATCGCCCTGCTCACGCGGCTCTGCCTGTCCTGCCGGTTAGTGATTTTAAAAATTTTTAAGTTGCGTAATAGCTGAAAATGTTGTCGTAACATCTCGCTAAATTTCAAGAGGACGACGATCCAAGAAAACCTAGGAAATAGGGAAATCTTGGTCGAAAATAGACCATTCTCACTCGAAAAATCGATTATTTTTATTTTTTTTTATGTCCATATATTTCTTGTAAGCTAATAATAGCAAAATGAAAGTGTTTTACCAAAATTTAGCTCTATTTTCTGCGACAAACCAGATAAACACTGAACATTTTCAAATTTTGGTCGGAAATCGGCCAACTTTGAACGAAAAATCGATATTTTCAAATAAATTTTTATGCCTTGTAAAAAACAGTGATTGAGGTTTAAGCATAATTTTTGCAGGAAAATACGCTAATTATTTACAGGTTATCCTCTTCAAATGGTGATTCAAGACTGCGGCTTTTGCTTGGAGGCCGGCGCTCTCACGCTGTGCCCAGAGCCGCTCAATCGACCTCTTCGGTTGATGACCCAGAGGTAGTTTTTTCTTTTGGTTGATTTCTCCTTAACTAAGAACCGCAACGCGACAGGTTCGGACAGGTTGCGCGCGCGACAGGTATGCGTTGCGCGTCGAGGAATTTTAAAGTTTTATTACCAAGGCTAAATGGGCAGAATTCAAAGTCAAATAGGGCGATAATGTCCTCGCTCGTGCGCAACCTGGTCCACTATGTCTCCAAACGAGCAACAGTCCACTTTCACCCCGAGTCCTCCACTTCAAACTCCCTTTAAAATGTTCCCAATTCCAGGCCCATGCCCATCAATTATCAGCAACCCACACAACCGGCGACAACCAGGAACCACCCAGCTATTATGCGGGTATTCTGGCCACTAGCGCGTCGGCATACTACCCCATGTACGTTCCGCCCTACAATGACGGACCAGTGGCTGGTGGCGGATCCGTGCGAGATCCGAGGATGTTCCAGGTGAGTATTAGTAACCCCAATGGGAAAACGTCATCGATAAAAAATTCGTTACGCATCATCCAGTTTATTAGCCGAGGAAAATCGGAAAATAGCCAAAAAGCATAGAATAACGCGATTTTTCGTTATAACTAGCTTTCTATCCAAAACCAAATATCAATTTCCAGGGTCTCGCCGGTGTCCAAGCACCCCCTCCCTACCCTCCTCCACCGGAGTACAGTCAATTAGCATCTATCCCCGAATTGCCGTCAATAGTAACGATGCGGCTGCCGACCGCCCAGACCACAGCTATTGTGCCTAGTAAGACCGATGAAGCGATTCATGAACCGATACCGCCTGTTGATTAGGTTGATTTTTTAAAGGAACTGGCAAGCAATTTATGGCTATGGCTTTGTGACACGCAACGCGAACGCCACATATTTGCCTTGCGTAATCGATTAAGGCCCCGTTAAAGCGGCCAAACGGCCTGCGTTGCGCGTCGCGGCGCGGTAGTCCCTTTAAAAGGACCAAAAAGTTCAGAAAGCAACCCATCTGATATACTAGGTCTTGACAGTTACACACCACCTCTAAATAACGCAACAAAATGGCAAAAATTTAAATACATTCTGACGTTAACGTATCTGTTGATACCTAATCCGATTTCAGCACCTTTTAAGGCATTAAATCAGCAGCTCATACTCTGCCAAAATTGCAAAAATTACCTACACTTTTTGATCCCATTGAGCCCGTCCTATGAGCTAAAAATACCCAAATTGCACCTGTCACCCTATTTTCTGTACATTTCCTTGTTATTCACCCCCCCCAGCACGTCCGCCCCACACCTACTGACGTACATTCCCAGGCGTATCATTACGTACCCAAGAGCTTTGTAACCTAACAGCTACTGTATTCTCAATTTCTGGCTTTTCCCCAAACATTTCTCTCCTCAATACGGGTTGCCCAATTTCTTTGGTTCGGTCTCTTTTCTTGTATCAACGATTTGCCACCAACGATTCCATTTTTTTGTAAGATATATGATTTTAATTAAGGTGATTGTGAGTCGAATAAATGGATTAATCGGCGAGTCGTGGTGGTCGGATGGAATGACGGATTTTGAGGGTGTGAAGCCAAGCATGTTCGTTGCTGAACCAGAAGCGGTAGATTCCTGAAAAGTTGGTAGTAAGTAGATTAGGCTTAGACCAGGGCAAGGCTTCGACTTAGGCGTAGGCTTAACTTCGGCCCAGCCTTACGCTTCGTTTGAGGCTTGTCTATCGCTTAGACTTAAGCTTAACTTCGACAACAACTTTACTACCTGGCTTCGGCTTCTTAATCGAATCAACCAGCGGCACGGTCGTAGGACCAGGAATTTTCTAAAGAGCCATTAAAGCCAAACCTACAGCTCACCGAAAACTTTGGATAAGCTCTCTCAAGCTGATCGAGTGGCAGCTCAGCATCTTCAGCAAGGCGATAGATGCAGAAGGCGAAATTTCCATCGGCGTCGATTGTCCATTCGAGGGGTTGGCCCTAAGATGAGGTCCGTCAGAAATTTGCATATTTTACCTCTTCTACAAAAACGTCGAATGAAGCTGCTTTGCCGGCTGGGACGATGAAGAGCTAAAAATTACATAGTTTGAGAGTCACTGTAACAAAATTTGTGATTTTTCTATGACCTTAAGGGGGCTAAAAAAGACAATCGATCGTTTTTATCGATTTCTTCGCTTATAGAACCACTAAAATTTCACTTCCAATTTTTAGAGCTGTCAGAGCGTAGTTGTCGACACCCAGCCCATTCCAGGAGTCGATTCTAGCCTTCCCAGTGCCTTTAAAATCCTAAAAACTCAGGCTTCCCGCCACAAGTCCTCCTGTTTCGTTGCTCGCCTACCCAACCAATTACGCAACCAAATGAAGAAGCCGCAGTTGCATTCCAAACCCCAACCATCACTTGGCAATATTTTAATGATCTCCCTGATCTCCCCATACCTCTGCATCATCGCCGATCTTCCCACGGTAATATTTCGATTCCGGGAACGGGACGGCTCGCTCCAAATCCGCGCTGAAGGGCTGGAAAAAGTGGTTTTTGCGCGTTTTTTTTGTGACGGAAATCTGCGCCAATGCCCCGTGGTCGACTACATTCCGGTACCAGACTATATACCTCGGCCTCGCCATCGAAATTCCAGAATGCGGGCAGCACCTCGGGGGCGGCGTATTTGAGCACCTGAAATGAAGGGGAAATTGGCCTGAAATTTGCGTATCCGGATTAAAATAAGCTTAAAATACATAAACCAACCTCTTCGCGCCAGTTTCCACCAAGAATATTGACCTTGTTTTTAGTTTTTGCCGGCAATAATGGGCGAGCCATAGTCCTAAAACGTTTATACTTATTAAGTTTTTTTTTCTAGATCCTTGATAGTAATGCTGAGCTTAAAAGGCTCCTTAAAACCCCAAAAGTAAAATATAGAACTTACCATATAGCCTGAATAAAAGCAGGTACATTGACAAGCACAAAAGTGTGTACCATTTCGACATAGTGCTCTGCCATAAACGCAGAAATTGAGGCGAGAGCTCCTGGATCACAAAACAGTTGCTTTAAAATCCTCTAAAAATACCGGAAATCAGCGTTGTCACTTTCCGGTCAAAGCGCAGCCCTGTCAAATCCATGAAATACATCACGCTGCATTGTTCGTCTAAAAAAAAATACCATAAGATTTTATAAAGGGGCTTAATAAAATTATTACAAAACTACCAAGAAAACCAAAAATTTCATACCTGTTTGCTTTTCCAGTTCCATTACAGCACGCAGCATACTTTCCAGATCGTGCACGCGAGCCTGGAATTAAATTTTAATATCAAAAACTTGCGTATTAGTTAAAGTTAACTTTTAAGTATTTAAAGATTTCATTTAAATCTGAATTAGACCTACTTCAAGAATTTCGCTAATCGAATATGTCTGCAGCATTCCCCAGTAGTCATTGCCTCCGGTCTGCTCGATATTGACTATCACGTTATCTCGGACGCCAGAGGGCCCAGTCAGCCCGGACTAAAAAAACCTTCTTAAAAGGATCAGAATTTTTAAAATATCTCTCTCGATCCATCTCTCTCTCTCCCAGTCTCTCTCTCCATCTGGCTCTCTCTTTCATCTCTCTCTCTCTCTCCATCTCTCTCTCTCTCCATCTCGCTCCCTCTTTCATCTCTCTCTCTCCATCTCTCTCTCCATCTCTCTTAATCTCTCTCTCCATCTCTCTCTTCCTCTCAGTCTCACTCTGCATATCTCTCTCTCTCTCTCTCTCTCTCTCTCTCTCTCTCTTTCTTACCTTCCAATGTGAATGTATTGGATGATTCCTCGGTCGATCGGCCATAGTATCCAAATCCCAGTGGCACTTCCGGAATAGCAAATGGTTCTAAAAACACAATTAGGTCTCCCACCCCCTTTAAAACGCACCCTCAGTTTCGGCACAATAATGTCAAAATTGTAATCGTGGCCCTGTAGCCAGCGTAGCATGTTGTAGTCCGTATCGTAATAAGGGGTCAACTAAAAAATAATTTAGTTCGAATAAAAATAGAAAAACCTCATCTTTCACCAATTCTCGAAGTTTTTCGATTTGTCGTCGATCCTCTTCTGAGATTGGCATATCTGAAGGTCTAAAGTAGAGGGTCAGCCTCAGAAGTGTTGTAATAAAAATGGAACGTTTAAAAAATTGCGAAATTTATAGAGGATCAGATTTGTAATGTTTACGTGGTATTAATGTTAATAATTGCTATATTATGAAATTGAGAATGAAAAACAAGCATTTGCAGTTGTCAGTCACGGGCTATCCCCAACCATGGGGTGGTAAGGGTTCCAGCAAGAGCCGGATGGACAGGTCGAAATGGGTCACTTTCGCTAGCCACCTCCCCACCCCTAACCCTTTCCCTTTCTCTCTCTCTCGCTCTCTCTCGCTCTCTCTCTCGCTCTCTCTCTCTCACAATCTATAATTCCTATAGTTGGCAAAACAGATGGTATCGCTTCTGCTCATTTATTTGCCCTGCAAACCGGAACCGTTCTGTTTATAGGTGATAAAAATTGAAGTTTTTAAAGAACCTATAAGTCAGAACTAATGGATTTACGTTGAAGGCAAGCTAGCAGAGAGCGCTTAGGAAGTTTTATAGCCTTGGAAATCAGAATGTATGGTCTAGACCCTGATGTGGAGCATGAGCTGCGGGCATTTTGAGAGCGCAGCCGGAAAGGCTGCCAGATATCGATCAGCCGGTATGCCGAACTCCTTGAACTTTCCCACCTGGAGGTCGTTTTGGGTGTTTTCGAGAGTTTTGAGCATGAGGCATGCTGAAGATCGTCTTAAGACATTTTTTATTACTTTATTTTGTCCCTTGAAAATAAGTCTAAATTAAGGTGATCTCGAGTAAATAATGGAAATAGATCTTACTCTTTTGAAAGGACTTTAAATTTCATTTTTAATTTTAATTTAAATTAACAAGCATTTTCAATTTTTGAAAAGCTGAAATCGCCTTGCCTTTCCTTATTTTTTTACTCTTTTAAAGGAACCAGGAATGCAGAATTTCTATCAAATACTACAAAAAAACCACAATAATTTATTGGCGCATAATAAAAATTTGTCTGAATAAAACGGTGTATAAAATATGGAGAGGACCAGTGTTCTGGTCTGGAATGAAATTGATGGAGAATGAACACACAGGCAAAACAAAATATATAAATATAAATAAAAAGGGTCTGGGTGGGTGTCTATAGCCGTCGGCGGAGCACATCGCTGAGTTGCTTAAAGACGAAACATGTGATATCGCCAACCGTCTGCTGGCAATAGAGCTCGGTGTTGGTGATGTAGGACAGATCGCCCCGGGCACATATTACATTGAAACTGGAAACATTTCTGTTTTTTAACGTCTGGGAATTCCGGAAGTTGTCTGGTAGCTCATTCCAAAGAGCGAAAAATTCTGAACGCATTGTTTTTTCAAAAACACGAAAAGTTTTTAGTTTGTAAGGAAAAATCTATAAAACCTATAAAAACCTGATCCAAAAGCCGCCAAAATTGAGCTTTGGAAACTTTTTATTTTGGATTACAGTCGGATACCAATTTTCTTGCAGCTCAGTTCGATTTAAAACTTTCCGCTCTTTCGAATAGCCTATCTAACCATTTTTTACAAATTACCCTACCGAGCCTGAAGCTCAGCCTCCGCCGCCTCCTGGATGCGCTTCTTTGCCACCGAAGTGACGCGGTCCACGTTCTAAAAGACTTCGTAGGGTCCATAATGCAAATTCTCCTGCTCACTTAAATCTGTAACTCACATTAATAATAATCTCACGCAAGGCCGGGCTGTTGCACTTTGCATCGACGTGAACCACGTCATCGGGCAGTTCACGCTCGCGGCGTGGCGTGATTTCGGAGTTCTGTAAAAAACAGGTTTTAGACAACCAATTGGGATGAAAGAAGTGCTGCAAGAAGCTAAAAAATATGTCTATTAATGCGCGTTAGAAAACCGTACCGTGGCATCAACCGGAAGGCCGATATCCTCATAATCTACGGAGCGCGCCAGACGACGCTTCCTGCAGGCGCCTCCGCAAGGATTGCAGCAGCTCTAGAGTTGGAGGTTTATTGTAGAAAAAAATATATACACCCTCGAGCCGGCGAGGTTTAGCCATGCAAATACCATTTTTTACCTAAGTGCAGCATTTTATAACGAATTTAGCAATTTTTTTAGTTTGACCGGACTAAAATCAACTACAAGCTACGACTACTTACCGGTGGTGGTGGCGGTGGAGGTAGAGTGGGAAGCGGCGGCAATGTCGGCAAGCAGAGTGGAGGTGGTGGGCATAGAGGTTGAGGAGCACATAGGGGAAGTGTGTTGCATTGGGGGCAACACTACAACAATATTAATTGAGCTAATATTTTAATTAATTGGCCTTTCTTAAGGAATCTCTGCTAGCCTGCCCCTTTCCTCAAACAATCTGTGCCAGCCTCCTCTTCCCTCAAAGAATCTCTGCTAGCTTGCCTCTTTCCAGAAAGAATCTCTGCTAGCCTCGTCTTTCCGCAAAGAAGCTCTGCTCGCCTGCTGGTTTCCTCAAAGACCTCTGCTAGACTACCCTGCTCCAAGAATCACTGCTAGTTTACCTTTCCTAAGAGATCCTTGCTAGTCGGTCCCATGCTTAAAAAATCTGGCGTCCACGCAACGTTTATGATTAATTTTGAACTTTAGAAAATATCAAAATAAGACTTGCCTGTGAATTACCAAACAAAAAACCATTCGATGCACCAATCAAAACGGCGAACACGATAAAAATCATCTCGAAATGTTCAAATTTCAGATGAATTCCCGCCTTTTTGTGACCGACGGAGAAGGCGGCTCGGCTGGGATTTTAGTGAAGTTGTTGGAGCAAGAGGAGGCGTTTGAGCACGAGCTGTCGTGGGGATTAGGCGGCCCCTCCCCAGTGGATCCGCCTGAGAGCCCCTCCGGATTACGGTGGCATGGACCCGGTTCCGTGACAATGCTGCCCTTTCTATTGCTACTTTTTGAGGTGGTGGATGTTGGCTACTGGTGGTGTGGGGGGCAAGTTTTAGGCTATGGTTTGGCGTGCTGGCAGGTGGAGTTGATCCAAAATATCCGGAATTGGCAGACTGGTGTGGAATTTTTTGAGACCTGAAAAAGCCTAAATTTAAGCCTAACAAGGGAACCTCACGCGGACCCTCAAGGGTTGGAATTTTAAAAACGCTCACCCCCGGGGATGGCATTTGATCAGTTGTCAAATTTTTATTTACTAACCAGGGGGAGGAGGGAGAGGGGAAAATACCGTTTAGAAATTTTTTATATAAAAAAAAAACAAAAAAGGTTTTTGGCTGTTCTGAGTAAAAAACAAAATCAAGGGGGTTTGTAAGCCTAAGCGTAAGCCTACGTCTCCCAAAGTCTCTGTCCTAAGCTTACTCTCATTTTAGCGTGTCCAAAATAATAAAGTCAAAGCTATGTATTGACGAAAATTCATAATTTCGCAATTTCAGCCGGCTGAATCTTCACTATTCCGGAATTTCGTACCCCCAAATTGAGAATGTCGACAATTTACATAAAATCGGAATCAAAAAGTCTCCCGGGAAATAATCCAATTCCTATACCAAAAATGTCGACATAATCAAAATGGGACACAACGAAATTCCGAGTTTTGTGAATTTCAACATCACGACGCACACGTTTCGACGTCATGAAATCCCCAAAAAATATATTTAGAAAAATGTAACCTAGTTGATTTTTCTATCGATTCTCGAAAACCCTAAATTCTACTCCTGGTCATCGACTTTGTGTTTATCGCGAAACTGTGCTAAGAATTCTTCTTGGCTGCATTGCACGATATTACACGTCTCACAATGGAACTGTCCGTTGGTCTCAGGCTTTTCTTCGGGTGGCAGATGGAAAGATCGTGTGTGTACTTGGAGCGCGGTATGGCTGGTGCAGCGAACCTCGCAGTATGCGCAATTCAGCGTAGGTGTTAACCGTCGCGCTATTGGGATTGGCGAACCGTCACGGGAACGGTTTTGCTGGAATTTATAAACGCAATCAGTGTGATAGGTGCATTGAGGGCATTGATTGTCGGTCATCTAGGTTCGCAAGCTAGAAAAAAAGCTAAAATGAAACAATCTAGATCCCACGATAGAGAACGTTGAAAAAATGTGTCCTACCAACAACCAAAAATAGGTAAAAGCCTATACAAACTCTTTTTCAACCCTTTACTTTTACATTCTTCGACAGCAGTTGCCCGTTCTTGTAAGAAAAAGCGTTACCATGGGGTTTTTTTTTGGCTATTACGTTATGAAAAAGGGCGGAAAAGGCGAGAGCGACAGATGGTTCCTAAAAAACTTCATTTTCATATCTAACAATCGATTTTAAAATACGTTAATCCATCGTTGGCGGCAACGCGAGGCTCCTTTACACGTCATGAAAGGGTGCGCAGACAGGGAAGGGAGCAATTAATTTCATTTCATTCATTTTTCAAGTTTTTCTTTCGATTTTGTTTTCTTTTTTAGCGCTATCCCACCCAAGCCCATGAGCACTACGACAAGGCCATCAAGCTCGACCCGTCCAACATCACCTTCTACACCAACAAGGCCGCCTGCTACTTTGAGGAGCAGAAGTTTGACAAGTGCATCGAGCTCTGCAAGAAGGCCGTAGAGATCGGGGTACTAGTATACTTTGGGGGGAGCAAAAAAATTTTTCGACCAAAATTTCTCATTTTCGATTCTTTTGTTCAGTTTTTCGTGCTGAATCCAATGAAAGTGTTTCCAGATTGTTTTAGATCATGTTTTCTAGTAATAATTAACTATTCATATTACAAGTAATTTCAATAGTTTTTGAGTAGTATACCGTTGCACAAGCCGCAGATAAGCCTAAGCCTAACCTGAGCCAAAGCCAAAGCAGGAGCCAAAGCCTGAGCCTAAGCCTGAGCCTGAGCCTAGGTCAAAGCTTAAGCCTAAGCCTAATCCTAAGCATGCGATCCATTCTTCAACTTTTGGTCGCATTCAGGCCCGTAAGAGCGGGGGCGAGGGGCGAGCCCCCCCCGAAATCGGCCGAAGACCGAAAAGTTCATAAGGGGGGACCCTTATGATTTAATTTTTCCAAAATTTTTTTTGCCTGCGGCGCTGTTTTTGTCTATTTTTAACACTAGTTTTAGTGTTATAAACCCTATGTTTTCAAAAATTTTGCCTGCGGCGCTGTAGTTTTAGTCATATTAGTGAAAAATTTTTGGGGTCGCCCCCCCCGAAATTCGGGTTTGTTACGGCCCTGGTCGCATTTAAAGGAGAACCACCCCTGCTAGTAATTGTTATTGTTGCCTAATTCTTATGTTGTTGCAATAACAAAAAATCTGAAAACATGTTCGTTCGATTCAGCATGAAAAACTGAACAAAATAGTGCAAAATGAGAAATTTTGGCCCAAAAATATTTTTTGCCCCCCCAAAGTATACTAGTACCGCGGCCCTACCCGCAGCTGGCCGTGAAGGGGAAGAAGAAGGGTAATGAGCTGTTTACGAACGCGACTACCCGTCGGCGATGAAGCACTACAACAAGGCGTTCAAGCGCGAGCCGAATAACGCTGTCCTGTGCTAGAACCGCGCCGCCTGTTTGACGGAGCTGATGGATTTCCAGGTATAAATTTACTTTTTTGAATTTCGGAGGTCCTATATACGAGCTATCTGGCCCCTAGTATTTGGCCTTTCTATCTAGGATCGTCTATCTAGCGAAATTTTTGCGGTTTTATGTTGCGTTTTAGGGTTTTACTCCCCCACTTCGCGGTGTCGAGGTTTCTTTCGTCTACTTTTTCATATGTAATTCGATTCTTTATTATTAGTTTTTTGACATTTAAAAAATTAAACCTTCCTTGAAAATTTTTTTCATTTTTTGACAATTTTAGAATTTTTAGGGCTTTTCTATACTTGAAAAGTCTAGAAATAGGCAAATGAATCTTTATTTCCGAATTCGATGAAATGAATTTTGAAATCCGAGTGATTGAATTTTTACTTTTAGAACTGTGATATTTTCTGTTTTTCAGCGTGCTCTCGATGCCTGGGACCAGTGCATCCACCAGGAAAAGACCTTCATCAAAGGCTACATCCGAATGGGTCACCTGATCACGATGCGGGAGTACTCGCGTGCCAAATACGTCTGCCACCAAGCCCTCAGCATCGACCCGTCGAACGCTGAAGCCAAGAAGGGCATCCGCCAGTGCCTGGAGAACGAGCCGACCTCTGCCGTAAGCACGGACTGCGTTCGGGAACGCGCCAGGAAAGACCCGGAGGCTATGGAGATTCCGCAAGACCTCGGCATGCGCCTCATCCTCGAGCAGATGAGTCGGACCCCGGTGCCATTCGCAAGCATCTCGCCAACCCGGAGGTTGCCAAGAAGGTCATAAAGCTCCGCTCGGCCGGTGTCGTCCAGATGCGTTAATTCTAAATCTCCAACCCCATTCCCCGCCTCTCACCATTGTTATTTCCGGCCTTTTTGACGCGTTATTATCTTGTTTTTTTTGTGACAATTCAATCAATTCTTCAATTTTCAACCTTTTTTTGTACGTGTATCAGTTTTTAAAATCGCTGGGGACTCTCGGCTTTTCGATTTGTAGTCACATACCCTGCCCATTCCGGTGATTGTCCAGTTACAACCGTTTCTCTCGTTGATGCTTGATTTTCATTACGTGTCCTCGTTTTTTGAAAGCGTTTTTGTTTCTACCGCGTTTCGACACAGACCACCATTTTTTCAGAATGTGGTCTGGAACAGATTTTCTAATTCTAAAAAATTTCTAGTAGAAATCAGGTTTTTCAATTTTCTATCCTTTTTGTACGTTACGTAGGTTAGAATGGGAACACGACTATTCTTCTTTTCAGCAGCGCGAGCAGTCTGAAGCATTGCCGCTATTACATTCTGATGGGTCGGCGAAGAAGCCTGAGCTGCCCGCCCAAAGCCACAAACCGACTTGCATCTCCACGATCGATGAGCCGCCCGAATACGAAGGCGAGGCTGAGGTTTCTAAATCCCAGGTCTTTAATGTTTATTGCTTTTAGTATCAGGATTGGTCGTCCTCACCCGAGCAGCTTGAACTTCCGATTGCCACGCCGACTCAAACGAAGTCACCCCAGAATGATGAGGTTTTTTATATCCCTTTTCCACATAAAAGCTGGGTTTTTAGGCGGTTCCAGTCACTACAAGGGTCACGGAAGAAGAGAAGCCAACGATCGGTCCCAAGAAGCAGAAAACGGCTGCTCCCGTCCAAGAATTTCAAGCTGCCACGCCGAACGTTCCCGCGCAAACGTTCCCGAACGAGGTTTGTGAGGCTTTGCGTATGCAGCCCTTATTCAACTTGGTTTTCAGTCGTTGCCCAAGCATCCCTCCGCTGTCGGTGAGGAGAAACCGCATATTGTCGCGGAGAAGAACACAGCAACCTTTGGCTCGTCTATCACCGAAACAGTATCGCCTAACAAGGACGAGAGCGTCGCAGTTGAACCGGAAGAGGTGCCGATTGCTTCAACAAGCCAAAAAGAGAGATCACCGAAGAAAGAGGTTGCTTTTTACCTATTGGTATATCTGATTTTTTCAGGCTGCATCTCCAATCAAGTCTCCGAGGGAGCGAACACCGATCAAGCTGCCCGTTGAGCCTCCCTACATCTACAATTTTCAAGTAATAATTTCACATTATTTTTTCTTCATAATCCTGTTATCTTTTTGTACCCCGAATTTTTTCCCCCCCGCTATTTTGCTTCGTTCGTGTAAAATTTAACGAAACTCACCAATTCTCGCCACACTTATTTGGTTGTATGTATCTCTGCTTGATGTACATAAATCGCTGTATATATGCCATGTAGATAAATGTAATAAAATGGAATTTACAAGAATGTACAGAATTAAGGTGGGAGAGTGCTCACTGGATGAGCTTTCGGATCATGTACTGTATGGTGCCGCCGTTACGGGAGTACGTCAGCTCGACCTCACTATCGAAGCAGCATATCACGTCAAAGGTGGCACCGTTCGAGGCTTTCACTTTGAAAATGTCGGCCGCCTTCCGCGTGTCGGGCAGGCCAATCGAGAATTGTTCCTTGCCAGTCAGCCCCAACGAGTCGGCATTTTGGCCGGTCGTCAATTGGAGGGGGAGGACGATGCCCATACCGATTAGGTTTAAACAAAAAATCTACTATATATCAATTTCTGACGCCCGTCGTCTGTTTTTTTTATTATCAAGGAAGGGATTTGACATTGTTTCAAAGGATATACTAGCCATTCCGCGATCCTTAGTTGTTTTTTAGCCTCAAAAAAGGCAAATAACTTTCTTTCGAAGAGTATTTTAGCCATTGCGCGATTCTTAGATGTTTTTTTAGCCTCAAGGAAAGGGTTTGACTTTGTTTCAACGGGTATTCTAGCCATTACGCGGTTCTTAGCTGTTTTTTAGCCTCAAAGAAGGGATTTGATTTTGTTTCAAAGGGTATTCCAGCCATTCCGCGATTCCTAGATGTTTTTTAGCCTCAAAGAAGGGATTTGATTTTGTTTGAAAGGGTGTTCTGGCCTTCACCGCGATTCTTAAATGGTTTTTTAGCCTCAAGGTAAGGGTTTGACTTTGTTTCAAAGGGTATTCTAGCCATTACGCGATTCTTAGCTATTTTTTAGTCTCAAGTAGGGATTTGATTTTGTTTCAAAGCGTATTCTAGCGATTACGGATTCTTAGCTGTTTTTTAGCCTGAAAGAAGGCTAATAACTTCCTTTGAAAGGGTATTTTAGCCATTGCGAGATTCTTAGGTGTTTTTTTTAGCTTCAAAGACGCAATATACCTTCTATAGAACTACAAGGAAATTATTGAGCTTCACGGGACCAGAGGTTCCAAGAACCTTTGCTAGTATGACATACATTTCGGATTTTTCCCATAGATTTCCTTCTAGTCTCTTCTTACATTAATATTAGCCTCTGTCTCAAAGAATTTCTGCTAACATACCCCTTTGCTAGCCGGCCTTGTTTCCTCAAGAGAACGCTGCCAATCCACCTCTTTAATCAAAGGACTTCTGTTAACCTGCCTCTTCCTCGACTGCCTCTTTCCGCAAAGGATATTTGCGAGCCTACCTCATTCCTCAGGGATACACTGCTAGCCTCGAGAAGATCCGCAGCCATATTCCTTTCCGGCGAGGATGATCACTGGATGGGCCTCCTTTTGGTAGCGCTCGGCGGCGTCGTAGATGTCCAGCTCTTGGCCGTTGGGCACGTGGGTGGTTTGGGGCGATTATAGGGGGACCCAATGAAAAAGGTTACGCTGACATTTTGCCGTTTCAAATTCAAATTTCAAAAATTTATACAAATTAAACCCGATCAACAGTATGCAATGGAGCAAAGCAAGAATATTAATTTGGACTTAGAATTAAGGCAATAAATATTCAAGTGAGCATCTTCAAATCTTTCCATAGGATTCGTCGCCGTCTTCTTCCGGAATGACAGCAATTTGGCGGGCTTCTTTGGCCCTACGGGTGGGCTGTCGACGAACAGGGGTAGATAGTTCAGCCTGGAAATATAGAAAATAGATCACGGTACGCAAAATATTAATCATATGCAATATATAATTTACATATTACGATAAAAAGTAGGAAAAATTACATCGATAGCCGCTTGAAGTCGGGCTCGTCGCGCCGAGGTATGCGAAGAAGCCGTAGATTGGGACACCGTACGAGCACTAAAAATTTTTTGATAGAGAATACTACTCTTTTTAGAGCACCAAATAACATATTTCAATTTTATCAATAAGATACCTTTAAATTTTATAAAAATCATACCGTTTCTTGGCGCTCGCAAGCGTAGAATTCAAGTTCTTCTTCACACTGCCAGGGCGAGAGCCAATCGTCTAAAATGCGACTACCTTTCAAGTTGTACCTTTAAAATCCACCTCATCTACCGTATCCAGCTCCTGCTCATCTTCAGATTCGAGAATCGTGCTCGCACGGCGAAGGAAATTTCCCAGGTTTGAGATGACCACGCTCGGGGCATCATGGCGGGTAAATTTCTGGGAATTGGAGTACCACAAACCTCAGAAGATACATACCGTTCGTAGGTATTCTGCAACCTTCACGAACTTCTGAATGATATCGTGCGGGAAGCCAAAGTTAAGGTCAACAGCTTTGAAAATCTAAAAAATGGAAAAATTCAGCTTTTACTTGCTCCAAAACATTAAGTTAAAAATCTTTAAAAGTTAAAACTCACTTGAGTATATCCAATCGCCTGCTCATATTCCACCGTAGTCAGGTCTTTGAACTGCTCGAAGTTCATGCGGTCCATGTAGTCGCTCATCTTCCTTAGCCGGTCGGCCGACATTTCGAGGAGTTCGATTTGGCTGCTCATCAGTCGACCATCTACGGGAAGGGAGCGACGGCGGCCAGCCTGAAAAGTCTCGATTTAGTCAATTTCATCCTGGCATAAGTATTTAAAAAGCTCGTGCTCACCTCCTTTTTATGAAGCTTTCGCTCAATAGCTTTTTGTGCCCATTCACCGGAAGTCGCTTCAGCCACATACTCAGCCAACTCCTCGGGGACGACCTCCTTGAAGACGTTGCGCCATGCTTCCGGAAACTCTTCATCCTTTTTTTGATATTTGTATACTAGATACATCGCGGCGATCATCGTTTTTTGATTGTCCCTAAAAATTAATTCATTATATTTATAAAATTTTACAACTTACAATTGTGGCATGAAAAATTGGCAAAATTGGATGAAACGCATTCGAAGTGTTGGACGATGGCGTAGACCATCGGCGGCAAATCTTAAAAAAATATATCTTCATATTGTTACTATATTACGGTATGATTATCATCATTTGTATATCATTGTTAATGATATTTTAATAGTCCTACCGAGCCAAATACAGCGCCAAGGTATCCCGAACTCCCGCATTATCATTTGCGTTCATCATCAGTTTCAGCACACACATGTATACCATTTGTTCATAGCGCAACATCGCTACGTCATCAGTGTCAAGCGGAATATCCTGTTTAATTTATTTTGGAAATTAGCATAAACCCCTACCTCAATCATAATTTTGGCGAAAAACTGGAAGAAGTCAAATTCCGGGAAATCTTCCGCGACGATTTTCAGGAATTTTGGGTAGGTGACGGAGCAGACGATTTCGACAAGAGAAATGAGGACGTATTCCTGGAAATTTTGGATTTACAATAACGAAAATCTACATACCCTGGTCATCAAGTCCTTTTTCGGAATGGTATCCCAACGGGCCAGCAGCCAGCAAATCCAACTGGTATATTGTTCTGGGTATGCACAAGCCAGGAATGAGTTCTGAAAAAAATTAGTTATAGTCATTTTCTATTATATTTCTATATTCAAATTAATTCCCAAACTCCATCCATTAATGCGTCGATATATACTCACCAAGACCATATAGCTAAACACGATCTCCTTCTGCTCATCCGTCAGGGAATCTTCGTTCATATGGATGAAATCCTCGAAATAACGCTCCTAAAATCGTTAATTAAGCTTTAACTAAATTTGCATATGTTTCTTTACATCATTTTAGATTATAATTTATATACAAAATAATTTACATACATATTTTGGAATTGTGGTCTTGACGATCGTCGGAATGTTGTTAAACCTTCCTGTCTGAACCATTGACAGCAAGACATAGGAGATGTGAAGTACATAAGGGGAAGTCAGGTTAGCAGGCAACTAAAATACCGGATTTAAAAGTACTTGAAGAGCACCATACCGCGCTTTCAAAAACATCCATATCATGGCTCTTCTTCAGCGATTCATCCAAATGGTACAGCAAATCATTCCAAATATTCTGAAATTTCAATATTATGATTTGCCGAATTAATTACCGAGGCGAGCTTGACATCTTTCTCATCCGGAATCAAGGAAACAACGTAGTGATAGACGCATTTTTTGATCAATGCGTAGCCGAGGGTGTGATTTTTGAAGACGCATGTCAGGAAGGTACGGTATTCTTGTCTAAATGTGTTTAGTTTAAAAAATTAAGCGTCATCCAACCGTTGATGATCTTCCAGCCTGAAGACTTCGCGGAGTAGGTCGAGCAGCTGGAGGAATAACCCCCAGCGCTCTTCACTAGGTTTTGCAACGGTACGGTCGTAATATCTGGAATTTAAAGGGTTTTCAGAGAGTCGCGATACAGACGCACTAATGGACGAAGAGTTTGGCTCACCTCTTAACCTCGGCAGTCAAAAGCGGAAGCGAATGGGTTAACATATTCATGGCCTCCCAACGGTCGTCACCCTTTCCAATATGCCCCACAAATCGGGCCAAAATCACGTGGAGCAAGACGGCGGGGGCGGATTCGGCGATTGGACGTCTGAAAATATTTTAAAAACGTAAATTGGTTGTTTTCCTTTTATATTTTGGACTTCTTTCTCTCTCTCTCTCTCTCTCTCTCTCTCTCTCTCTCTCCCTCTTTCACACGCCCTTTTTCTCACTCTCGCTCTTTCACTCCTTCACGCTCGTCCTCACCTATCGCCCTCTCTCTCACGCCCTTTCTCTCTCTCTCGCTCGTGCTCATCTATCGCCCTCTCTCTCTCGACCCTCTCTCACGCCCCTTTTCTCTCTCGATCTTTCTCTTTCTGGATCGCTCTCTTTTCTCTCTCTCTCTCTCTCTCTCTCTCTCTCTCTCTCTCTCTCTCTCTCTCTCTCTCTCTCTCTCCCTCTCTCTCCTCACCTCAATATCTCCTTAACCTCTCCCTTATGGATTATCGGATCCGTGTCGGCACATCCCTCATAAAACATCTTCATAAAATCCCGCATCGTTTTGACACCGCTTTTTAGCTTGCAGTTGGCGATGATGAGCTCGAAGATTTGGCGGACGCCCTGAATGTCAAAGATTCACACTGTATATCTTGCTCAAAAGAGCATAACATTTAGAAATTAGTTGCGCACGGCACTTTAACCTTAAAAAATCGACTTATAAATACGTTAAGCTACTTTTGCGCTCTTACCTCGACATTCGGATGCTTATGCACCTCCAGTTTTGCTAGCATCTGGTACAGCGCAAAGCCAACGCCATTCATCCGCTGCTTTGTCGCCAACCGCAAATGTTGACTCTCAGCGCTCTGAAAACTAGTGTAAAAATACTTAATCCAGGTACCTCAATCTCTTGCTTCATCCAGCTGGGCACTAGATGATTCAGCCCTCGACGCTGGCGAATGGCTGAATGGGTTCAACAATGGGATTGGGCCTTTGAAAACTGACGAATTGTCGACTTGACGGTGGCGCTGAGGATTTCGTAGAAATCGTCGTTGCTCAGTTTGCGGTAGTCTAGCCCCGCGAACCGGTCGACGATTGCTAGGGAGACCTGAAAAATTCAACTGTTTTTGTTATTTGATAATTTTATAGGTATCAAAAAACCAGGAAACTTTTTGAAGCGCTGAATTTATTGCTGTCACGCTCCCTTTAAATATGGGGAGAACCAACTGGCACTCTCGCCGCGAAATTTCCGGAAATTGAAGAAAATGTAAAGTAAATCGTTGCTGTCACGCATCCTTTTAAGTTCTCGAGAATAGATGGAACTGCTTACGCATAAGTCGTCACGTTTCTAAAGGTCATGCTCCCTTTAAATGAGTGAAAATTACCCGAATTTACAGCTGCCATTTCTCATCTAAACTGACTGCCTAAAACTTACTGTATAATCCGGCTTCTTCGACTTCCGCTCGGGATTAACAATTCTCCAACTGCCCGTATCTGCATCATCACACCGAATCCTCTCAATCATCGCCTCCAGAAATTCGGGGTCGTCGAGCGGGACAACTTGAACGGCAGCGCATCTCGTCCTTGGGTCTTCTGCCCCCAGAAGCATACCAAGCACTAAAATGATGTAATTAAGATAGACATTACAATAAAATTAATAACATAATTAATGGAAGAAAAATATATAGAAAATCTCACAAATTTTCGGGGTCTTTTCACGGACTGGCTCCCAGTCTTCGTCGGCTGCGGCGAGTGCAAGTCCGGGGAGGATCGATTTGTCGATGGTATATTCCTGGAATTCAGCCATAATTAAAAAGGTGCCATTTCTATTTAAATAAGCACTACTATTTTCTATAAACCTAATATTTAATTTTCTATTAAAGCTACAGTAGCCTTTCTAAAATTCCTCGAAAATCGCGACCTTATTTTGATTCGATTCCACCAAATCCACCATATACTCAAAAATTCGTTGCCGTTCTTGTCGCGGCAAAACCTCGACGCCTAAATATTCAAATATCAATTTAAGACTTTTTATAAATTACCGTATTCGCTCCTTGAAGCTGTAAGCAGCCCACTCAAAAGCCGACCCGCAGCTGCAGCGGCTCCGACTTTGATGTCCGAGTCCAGATTCATCCACTAATTTTTTAAAATGACAAATACAGTATTTATAGCCTCACTAGCTCAATTTCCTCATAAACCCATTCCAGCAATGTTGAACTACGGTTATTCCCGTAGAAATTGACGGCGGCAACTGGAAATATTTGGAGCGCGATCTCCCATTCGGGCGTTTCCTCCCGGATCAGACTATAAAAAATCAATTCATTTGCTTCATAGCTTTAAATCACCATTCCAATCGGCGCATCGAGTCCTCGAAATAACAACGAAATTGGTTGACGAGCTGCTTGTCCACGGCCTGGTCGTAGAGGTTGATCAGCAACTTTGCATGCAGCGAAAATCTCTCTGGGCTCAGGTTGTTCCGCTCCTTATCCTCTTTGACAATGTCGAACGTCTCGGCCAACTGCTCCATGACGGCGTTGTAGAACTGTAAGGTTGTATATTTCGAGTTAATACGTTTTTAGGAATTAGAAGCGTTTCGAGACCTATCCAATGATATAAAAACCATCCGGGCCGGTGTGTTTTACTGTCTTTCCTACCTCCGGATCGTGGAGGATACCATCGATGGCATAATTTGAAGTCTCGAGATTCTCCTGATCTTCGAGTTCTTCAATTTCTGAAGCAGCTTCAACCTCCAGTTTCACCTCATGCTCAGCAATCACCGGGATATTCGGGGATACTGCCGCCTTGACAGCACGCCTGCGCGGCATCTGAATGTTAAAATTAAGCTGTATATTAACAAAATGCGGATTAAACTATATAGGTTATTTATAATCTAAAATAAAAATACTCAAAATGTCAAAATCCTGGTTAAAATATTCAAATTTCAATCCAAAAGCACTATTATACGTGGTGCGAATTTGGGGAATTTGGGGGTTGGCGGGTAAACAGATGGGGATAGGAGAGACGCGTAGTGGGTTTGAGGTGGGAATTCTCATGACATCTGCTAGCCTAGTATCTCACCGCCCATTAATGCAAAAAAGACCATGAACGGAAATCCCTAAGGGTAAGATTCAGCGCAAAAATATCCAAATCGTGATGGGAAGATTGATAAAAATTTATCGATTGGAAAAGCTGGATAATAACGTCCTAGTGGGACGACCAAAATGCTATATGATCCTCTTTGTTAGTGTTTCTAAGCCGTGTTTGGACTATTCCTAATCGTAAAAAAAACTTCACAAATTTTATAAAAAATATTAAAATGATGGATTTTTGACACAAATTCACCGTTTTGGTCACAATTTCAACTTTTTGTAGAATTTTTAAAGTATTTGTTTAGCTTTTTTATTTGAAATATGGTTCTTTTTTATGTAATAAACCATTGAAACACTTATTATAAAGTCACAAAGCATTCCTAGACTTCTACAAAAACTTTCCGCTTCTCTCCGATAAACTGACCCCCGGTAATGGGAAAGAACCGGATGATATTTTAGCGATTTTAAAAGGTTAAGGTATTCATTGATCAGTGTTAGGTCATAAAAAAATGCTAATTTTAGTGTTTTTGACATTAATTAAAGTTTCTATAACTTTAAGTATTTTAACAACTAACCTCTGCCGTCTCAAGCTCGCTGGACTCATCGTAGGGATCGACCATTTTGAAGAAATAAAGGAAAGAAATGAAATGGACTGAAAATGAATTCATATGCCCCGAGGGGCGGACCGGCATATCATAACAAAACATAGCGACAGGCGTCGAGCGGAATAACATACATAGAAAACAGCAATATGTGCTTTATTGCTAACCGAAACGTCACTTCGAGAAAATCACATTTGGAAATCGTGAAAATTGCCTGTTGGTCAAAAATTATGCTTAAAAAGGGCCATTTGAAATAGAAAATGAAATTTAAGGATTTACAGTTTTTAAAGGGAGGGCGACCTCGATCTGAAATTACAGATTTGCAGGTTTTAAAGGGAATGTCCCACCTTTTTAAAGGCAAAGGTACGGTAATTATTATTTAAATACCGCTTTGACGTGGCTATTGTTTGAGTGTATTTCCGGTTCCAGCTTTTTCGCTCCTAAATTTCAGCTTAAGCTTCAAGTAGTTAAAATCATGAGAATCGACCCTATCCAGTCACTAGGTCTCGACACTTACAACTTGCTGCAGACGAGATCAAGCTCATTTTGATGCTAAGCAGATGCCGATGCGTAGTTGTATAAAAACTCTAAGACGTTACCATACGTCTTTCGGTGTATTTTGTGACTGTCGATATGTGTCGGCATACGTATTTTGGTGTAGTTTGTAGTTGTCGAGACCCAGCACATTTTAGGCGTTGATTCAACCAGGTTCTAGTCTCTTTAACCTTCAAAAATTCACAACAACCAACGTATCCACTCACATGACGGAGATTTGGTTGTTTGTGCTCCTCGTTCCTCCCCACCCCCGAAAAGACCTTCATTTCAGCTGTGCTCCTGGCTCCGATTCCTGATTCTAGAATTTCATTCGCCGTCCCCCCCGCTCCAAAACCAAACGTTTTTTAGTGTCCAAAATGTTTGCGGAAGTCAAATTCCTACTTTCCAACCTCACGCTGATTAAAAATTATTATTTTTGGGATGCTAATGATCTATGCGTGGGAGGACCCAATTCCCATGAGACCAAAAGCCTCTAGATCAACGGCTTTGTCTAGCATTCGTCACTACCCGCCCAATTGGGGAACTGAATCAAGGGGGGCTAGGGGCTAGAGAAAGTCTTTTTTTGGGCCCTCCACCCCGTAGCATCTCGTATTCTCGCAACAGGCTTTAATTGGCAGCTCGAGCTTCCTCAATTTTCAGTGCGACTCGGGGGGTGAGGTTAGGGCGTTTTTTGTTCCTTTTGGTTTTGGGGTGAATGATGAAATTCTGGTTTTTCAAAAATGCCGAAAAGATGTCAATTTTTATAAAACTTTCATAAAGCAAGCAATAGGTTTTTCGAAGCTATAAAAACTCAATTTTTGAAATTCTTAAAAGTTGAAACTCTCGGTTTTAGGAGTGGTATTGATCGCGTAACCCTTTAAAAATACAGCATAAATGATGCTAATTTGTGATAATTTGCATAATTTTAGGATTACCATATGCTATTTTGTCCCAAAAAAGCCTCTGCTAGAATGCTCTAGGGCCCATTTTGCGTCATTCTAAAGGCACGGTGACAGCAAGATACATTTTTCACCCCTCAGGACCCTCGACTTTGGTTTCTAATAAATTTTTGAAGGCATTGTGAAGCGGCTTTGTCATTATGCGCGCTGTGAACCCCACAGGGAGGATTATCCATTCAAGCGTATAGCCGGGAACAGCCAGAGGCATTGCCTCAAATTTTTTGTCGGCATTTCGGAGTACTTTTAGCGGTAGAAATGTACAAATTTCTTTTACTTATTTGTTTTCATTTCCAGCGCCATCTTTTTAAAAAGCTTAACTATGTAAACCACTAAAAATGCTACCTTTTTCAGATGTAATGTCCGAGCTTCCCACATCGCTATGGCTGGGTCTATTGCTGGTGGGAGGATGCGCGCTGATATTAAATATATTTGTGCTAATTACGATTGTTCGCTCTCCGCTACTTACACGGTATGTTAACTTATTCTTTACTTAATTTATTATTATTTTAAAAATGTAAAATAAGCTTCAAAAGTCAAAATATATTTTTAGAAAAGGACAACCAGTCTTTATCCACATATTTTCAATGCTAATGGGAAAAACGATGCAGTTGATGTTAATTGTGTTTTACATAACCCCATCCATTATATTTCAGGTTTCAAATTTTATAATTTAGCTTATTTTTTGTATTAATTTAAAAGTAAATTTTATTCTTTAGCACCACCCTTTTGCCGACCATGAACACGGTATGCTAATCCACAGCCTCGTCTCCTATCTGTTCTACACGTTTTGGGTACATTCCTGCTGCTCCAACACGGTGCTGGCTTTTTCTCGGTATGGTTTTATTAAATTAAATTAAATTATAAAATTGAATAAACCTACAGGGCTATGAATAGTTGTTTAACGTATTTTCCTAGCGTTGTCGGTAGGTTTCTACTGGCAAAAAGCCAATTTTGAAGTTGTTTTTGGAGATTCCGAGCTCTTGAAGGGACCGGCAAGGCATGATTTTGGATTTTAACTTAACTTTAACTTTTTAAAAATACCCAAAATGAAGCTTGAACTAGATTTTGTAATTTGTAGCTTTGTCAAAATCATCTGCCCCGCCTCCCGTCTCTCCTCACTTTGCACCGGCCGAACGTCAATATGCGTCCAAGCACTGGCGGTCTGGCTTTGCTCCGGTCTCCTTGCCCTCACTACTCAATTTTTGTTGTCATGCTGCCGGTAATCTTAATTCTACATAATTTTTTATATTATTTGTTATTATATATTATCCACATCATTTTCCAGGGTCCAAATCGATCACCACAGCTACGGGTACTCCTATGTACGGGACGAAGATGCGTTTAACTATTCGAAATATTACGTCAATTTACCGGCAAATATCATACACACCGTTATATTCTGTCTGTTTTATGCTAGCGTAAGTGATTTCTAAGAGTGCAGCACATTTTGGTCCAGATCATTGTATTTTTATGGCGTCACCGGATGCCGATTGGGTCGGCGTCACGTAGAGAATTTGAACTTGCGATACAGTTCTTGTGTATTGCCGCCTTTTCTCGTTGACCTGGATCTCATTTAAGTGAGTTTCAAGGGGTAGTGACAGCCAAAGATTTTTAGTATTCTTCCAACAACTCGTCTCCGCTCCTTGCCGGCTACCGTAATGCTAGAATTTGATTGCGCGGCGGCGGCATTAATTTATCTAACGATGAACCGTGATGTAAGTATAATTAGGATATGAAAACCAGCAGAAATATTGTAGAAATTTAACTTTAATCAGGTCGATTACGATGCATTTTCAGATCCGCCGATACCTCAGCAAAGCGGCTGAATTTCACCGTAGCTTACTAAAAATGCTACCTTTTTCAGATGTAATGTCCGAGCTTCCCACATCGCTATGGCTGGGTCTATTGCTGGTGGGAGGATGCGCGCTGATATTAAATATATTTGTGCTAATTACGATTGTTCGCTCTCCGCTACTTACACGGTATGTTAACTTATTCTTTACTTAATTTATTATTATTTTAAAAATGTAAAATAAGCTTCAAAAGTCAAAATATATTTTTAGAAAAGGACAACCAGTCTTTATCCACATATTTTCAATGCTAATGGGAAAAACGATGCAGTTGATGTTAATTGTGTTTTACATAACCCCATCCATTATATTTCAGGTTTCAAATTTTATAATTTAGCTTATTTTTTGTATTAATTTAAAAGTAAATTTTATTCTTTAGCACCACCCTTTTGCCGACCATGAACACGGTATGCTAATCCACAGCCTCGTCTCCTATCTGTTCTACACGTTTTGGGTACATTCCTGCTGCTCCAACACGGTGCTGGCTTTTCTCGGTATGGTTTTATTAAATTAAATTAAATTATAAAATTGAATAAACCTACAGGGCTATGAATAGTTGTTTAACGTATTTTCCTAGCGTTGTCGGTAGGTTTCTACTGGCAAAAAGCCAATTTTGAAGTTGTTTTTGGAGATTCCGAGCTCTTGAAGGGACCGGCAAGGCATGATTTTGGATTTTAACTTAACTTTAACTTTTTAAAAATACCCAAAATGAAGCTTGAACTAGATTTTGTAATTTGTAGCTTTGTCAAAATCATCTGCCCCGCCTCCCGTCTCTCCTCACTTTGCACCGGCCGAACGTCAATATGCGTCCAAGCACTGGCGGTCTGGCTTGCTCCGGTCTCCTTGCCCTCACTACTCAATTTTTGTTGTCATGCTGCCGGTAATCTTAATTCTACATAATTTTTTATATTATTTGTTATTATATATTATCCACATCATTTTCCAGGGTCCAAATCGATCACCACAGCTACGGGTACTCCTATGTACGGGACGAAGATGCGTTTAACTATTCGAAATATTACGTCAATTTACCGGCAAATATCATACACACCGTTATATTCTGTCTGTTTTATGCTAGCGTAAGTGATTTCTAAGAGTGCAGCACATTTTGGTCCAGATCATTGTATTTTTATGGCGTCACCGGATGCCGATTGGGTCGGCGTCACGTAGAGAATTTGAACTTGCGATACAGTTCTTGTGTATTGCCGCCTTTTTCTCGTTGACCTGGATCTCATTTAAGTGAGTTTCAAGGGGTAGTGACAGCCAAAGATTTTTTAGTATTCTTCCAACAACTCGTCTCCGCTCCTTGCCGGCTACCGTAATGCTAGAATTTGATTGCGCGGCGGCGGCATTAATTTATCTAACGATGAACCGTGATGTAAGTATAATTAGGATATGAAAACCAGCAGAAATATTGTAGAAATTTAACTTTAATCAGGTCGATTACGATGCATTTTCAGATCCGCCGATACCTCAGCAAAACCGACGACCGGAAGAACTCGCAAAGCGGCTCGAATTTCCGGAAGACGACCATCCATACGCACTGTTCGAGCAGGAGGCTAAGGACTGCCCCGGCGGCAGTGTCACTGTAGAATTTGCCATTAAGTTTGATAAATATAGGCAATTGGGTTGTAAATCGAAACGCATGAATTTCACGTAGATAGGAGCGTAGTGTAGCCAAGCGAGGGCGACAGCGTGAACAAAAACGACCCCTAGGTTGGGAAAAACTGCGTGCAACTCGCGCAAAGCCTTCTCCAAACTACTTTATTTCTGCACACATATAAGATCAGAGGTGGTTTCCCTTATTCTCGCTCTCCTTGTTGGATGTCGGTAGCAGCTTATATGCGGGTTGGAGGCATGTGGACGGCGGAAGTGGTGAAATCTGGAAGTGGAATGTTAGATGGTTCTCGGTCTGGGGATTCGACTTGGGCTTCTGCAAAATTCGGGTGCCCTTGGTCCTGAGGGGGCTGATGGTCCGATCACCTGGTGCTCGACACCGGAAATCTTTGTGCAAAGTAGATTCTCGTTTCAGGCATCACATGCCTTAAATACGTGGTTTTCAATTTCGGCCGTAATGCCTTAAAGAGAAGAGGTATTAAATAGATATAACATTACATAGATAGTACAGGTAGAGATACGATGTTTTACTAGGATGACTTTGGTTCTGGCATCACATGCTTTTATTGGTAATTAATCTAGGGGTAATTAGTACTATGCGTTAGACGCATAGGCTACGACTGAGCTCGAAATGTCCAAATTTGAAACTAGGGACCTGTGATCGCTACGGATCTCGGTAAAGCTGCCTTAAACTATATATTTAAAATACCGCAAAGATGCGATTATGGCAAAAAGCTCAATGTTGGTGGGGGCCCATTTACTCTGTGATTCCGGAAAAAATTTGCTAAAACAACCCACGGCCCTCAATCGATTGGCGTTGCAGAAGTGCAGCACAGCCGTTCTGGATCCCTCGGTGTACAGGATGAATGGAGCGTCTGCTGCGTATGCCAGGCATGGTTTCGATAATAGAATTCTTTTATGAATTTGGGCAGTGAAAAATTACTTTTGGCTACAGGCGAGGACACATGAGAAAGGGGATGGTAAAATCGTTGGCGAATCGGTTTCTGGCGGGCTGAGGAGCAGTGAGGAATCGGGGGAGGAGCTAATGGATGTTGATGGGACCGACCTTTTGGCATCACCCTCGGATGGGCCGGGGGCGGTTTTTTGATCGGGTCGAGCTGCCGGCTGTTGACCTCTGGTTAATCCGGCCTCTTAACATTTGGATGATGGAACATGTGGAAGTGGTTATAGCCCTGAACAGGAAGAGAAATGGGAAACCAATTCAGGATACTCTAAGGACCGATACGGTCACGAGTGGATCCATGCCCAGATGACAAATGGCGAGGGCTGCGTTGGTTAGGCAAAATTAGCTTAAGCCGGAAGTAAGAACAGCCTATATAAGCGGGCTGAGGAGTTTGTTAATTTCAACATTTCCCAAAATCGTTTTTCCAGACTGGATTCTTCGGAAACCTGATTTTTCACGTGAAGAATCACCGTAGCTGTACAACCCAACAATCCCCATGCTGGCTACAAGAGATTTGTCGACAGCTTCAACCACCCCCATCCTCCCCACCATCCCCAGGGAGCTTGATCTCGACCCCCTCCCCCCTTTCTGAAGCCATTCATCCACCAACTCTTTTTCTTCTAACATTCCGCCTCCCTCGTTTCGTTTTTTTTTGTGGCGAACGAGGCATGGAGCCCATCAACACTCAAATCCACCTCTACACCCTCCTATACGCTCGTTACTTTCACGCGTATCCGGAGTTGCGCAGGAATAAGTTCTCAGGTTGGGAATTTTTAAGAACCGTATTAATGTTTTGTGTTTTTGCACGCTGTGCTATGCTTCGCTCGTGCTCCATTACCGCGAAAACTCAGGCTCCGTTTGGATGCTTTTTCCGTATGCTACGTTACCTTCTATTCCGCGACGCTACGTAAATATGTTCCGCTGCGCGAAGCTCACCGTTGCTACGTGACGCTACGTTACGCTCCGTTCGGTTCCACTACGTCAGCTTACGTTCCACTGCGCCAGGTTCCGCACCACCACGCTACGTTCCACTTGACTACGCGCTTCCATTTCGCCACGCTACGTTCTGTTCCACTACGCCACGTTCCGTTATACTGCGCTACGTTCCGCAACACTACGCTACGTTCCATTCCACTACGCTACGTTCCGTTCCCCTGTGCTACGTTCCGTTTCGCTGCGCTACGTTCCGTTGCCCTACGCCTCTCACGTGGCGTGACGTTGCGCCAAGCTACGATACGTTACTTTCCTCTGCGATAGTACGCCATATTAAATTTAGCTATTACTACGTTTCACTGTAAAAAATCAGGCCTAAGGCGATTCACAAATTACTGAAATTTTTCAAGCGGCCCCGCAATGAGTTTTTGCCATTTTCAAACTAACGTATAGTAATTTACGAACCCCAAAACGGCAGTAAGTTCAAAATCGGCCGCCCCATCTATCTTCCACCCGTCCATATAGGCTTACGTGGTCCGAGGGGAGGAAACGAGTGACAATGGTAATGCCCTTCAATCTCCGATGGAGGAAGAAGACTGAAGCTAGAAGTGCTCCTTCTTATACTCCCCCTCCCCTCCCCCTTCTACCCTCTTTTTCCATTCGAAGGGCTTCTTCTTCGTCTTCTTCATCGTGGACCGAGAATCCCGGTGCCACGGGGGCAATTCATTTCCCACCAACCCTTCGGAGGCAACGAACGCCCTTTTTGGCTCAATCGTCTTTTGGCTGTCTTTTGGCTGTCTTTTGCTGTCTTTTGCTGCCTTTTGCTCTAAGGCTTCTCTTGGTTGGAGAGGGCCATTCATCCAACTCCTCTTGTGGCGGACCCTAGGCCATAAGCACTCGCTTTTTCCGTTTCCACTTGACTTGTTAAACGGAGGGAAGGAGGAGGGAGGGCGAGTTTTTAGGTTTTTTAGGGTTTTTAGATAGTTTTGACGTCGTTTAATGTCTGGTTCTTTAGCTTACAGTTTAAGCTATATTTTTAAATAAAACTCTCGTATCCGTTCCAGGAATGGAAATAGAACTTCAAAATGCCAGCCTCATTCCCTTTAGCTCTCTCTATCTATAGCTTCCTCCCCATCCCTCTCTCTTTCTCACTCTCTTACGCTCACTAGATATCCCACTCTCTCCCTCCTTCTCGCTGCTTCGCTTTCTCAATGAGTCGCTCTCTAGCTCTCTCCCTCGCTCTCTAGCTCGCTCTCTCGCTCTCTAGCTCTCTATTTCACTCTCTCTATCTCCATAGTTTACTCGCTCTTTCTCGCTTTCTCTCAATTTCTCTCTCTCTCTCTCTCTCTCTCTCTCTCTCTCTCTCTCTCTTTCTCCCTGTCTCTCTCTCTCTCTAACTATTTCAGTATCTCTCCCTACCTCTAACCCGTAGCCTCTCAGTTTTTAGACTATCAACTACCGTATTTTATCCAAAATTGAACTCGCGGCCTCAGAATGAATCTGACCTCCAAACCCAATCAAAGCTTTCCCTCCGCTTCCAGACCCAAATGTTGCGAACCGCTCTAATGAACGAACCCCTAACAGCAATTCCCGGATTCCCTCCTCCTGTCTGCTAAATTCCCAAACTCTCCGTGACCCTAACGGCCTATGTTCAGCCCCTCTGTTTATGTTTACATTTTTGACGAATTTAACATTGTCCCACCTCCCACGTACGACAGCTTTTCACGTCTGACTCTCGCTCTGTCTCAATGCGCTCAAATATCACATGCTTGGCTGACTCGAATTTCAATAAATCCCCCTCGCCGTGGCCCCGTCTTCACCACCTGCTGGGGATATTTTTTGCTTGCACTGATTTTGATGGAGTTTACTAATAAAAGAAATTCATATTGCTTTTATTTATCTGGCGCTGAAATTAAATGTTCACTTTTACTTTAGAAATTTTCTTGTAAAAAATTTGTGTCTAACTTTTGCATATTTCTGAATATATTTAGCTGCGCATCTAATCTTAAATTAACGCCCAATTTCAAGCAATCCCAATATGCCAGTTAAGTATTTTTACCAATTTTCTGGATTTTCAGGCTTCGCTTGAAAATCCAGTCTATCCCCCTCGGCCAAGGTGTAAATAGAAAAAAAGCGAAAAGCCGCGACGGCGAACACGGCAGCGCATAACCATATTTGATAAAAGCAGCCAGGGCCCGGGGCCCAACCTCGAATCACATCAGCTGCGCGCCCAAATTTCTATTTCCTGAAAGGGAATTTTGGAGGTAAAAAAGGATTTCCTTAGCTTTTTGAAGCGCTCTTCTTCCATTTCCTAATTGTATAATTTACTCTACGATTTTTGCAGTCAAATAAAATTTTGCGGGTTGTTGTAGCCTATTATCTTTTCATGGTATAATCCCTTTTTCAAATGCAAATACGTGTAAAATAAAATATTACATACTTTTTGCTGTTCCCTCTCATCCTTCCTTGCGCGATCAGAACCCTCTATAGAGCCCAAAAACGCTCCTCTGCTCCAGCAAAAAAAGGTTGTTGCGCAGCAGCCGTAAAATGAGCATCACCATCTCAGATTCACAGCCCTCTGGCCCTGGCCTCGGATTCACATTCACATCTTGCCCAATTTTTCGTCTAGCTCTCAATATTCTAATCCTTGCTGACAATGGCCCAACGTCGCTTTAGTCTACAGTATTATTTGAAAGGTGTAGCTTGTAAAAATCAATATAATTTTTAATAAAAATAAAAAAGGGATTAATTTAAATGATTGGTTTAGAGTTGGTCTCCTGGATGAGCGATGACGATTCGCTGGATGTCGACATTACCGTTAGCAATTCGAGGTTATTTTTAAAGGGTTATCGGAATATTTGGATGTTCATATATATTATGATTATTATATTCTACCAGGTTTGAAAAACCGCTTCGCGGCTTTTCAACCCTCGCCCCGTCTAGGCCCTGTGAAAATCCTCAATTTGCATGCTTCTTCCCGAATTCCAGTTTAAAAAAGTGCAGAGCGCGCCCTTTCTTCCTTTTTATGAGCCGAATCCACTTCCGGTGTATGCTAAATGTTTCCTAACAAAGAGGGTCTTGGATTTTTCAACAAAAACTGAAATTTAACGTCGAAAACACGTAATTTTTCAAAATTGTGGTACTATGCAGTCATCCCAAGGCCATTACGCACCTAATGAGGTGTAATACATACCCCTAACTGCCCCCCTTATTGAGATACTGCTGGAACACGCTGACGGAAGTTGCATGCAAAGTGGCACGGACACACACACAGACACTATTTTTTTATATATAGTAGGATATTGATTTAAACAGTATTTAGTAATTTTATTATTTTATAAATTAAATTTTAAGCTCTAGCTTAACCCTAAAAAGTTTATCAAAAACCCTAGGATCCAGCGAGTTTCCGCCCCGGCCTCTTTCTCCACTCCCCCAAAATTGGTCGGTTGATTAGATTCGAGTAGAGTGATGGGCTGTCTATAGTGGACGGGCCCTCCCGGGGTTTGTAGAATTCCACACAACTTTCCCTCAAATTCCGCAGCTTTCCATTTGGTCAATTCTTCAAAGAGCATGTCGATCTCTAGCGGAACACCGGTATTTTGGGACGAACTGTCCAGGTGAAGGTTTAATTTTTTACATTAATTGCACTATTATATTACTGCATTTGCATAATTTGCATATTTTTACGAATTTTGAAGTGGATTAGAGGACTAGAGGGTTTTTTAATTTTTAACGGAAGGGGAAACTCTGGTCTACGAGTTTTGTTTGCTCCCGCGACCACAATTTCTAATTTACGCGTAAAAACTTGTTATTTATGAAAATCGTAATTTATTACGTAAGTGAAATGTGTGCGCGTCACCTGTCCTGCAAAAAATTATATAATTTGAAGCTTTAATTGGTGTGTAAAAACCTCCTAATCCATTACATAAGACACGCAAGCGCGGGCACGGCGCGTATCGCGGTGTAGCAGTCCGACTAATTAGAATATTAGCTAAAAAATCTCTAGCACTGCCTTGCCGATCCCTTTAAAACTGGCTAGCCGAAAAGAACTAGCCGGCTGACCCGATGCGCTGAGGGCTCCTGCCCGGAATTTGATTAGCCGCCCAGAATTCTTTTCTCGATTCCCCCTCTATCGTCAACATACGCCATCCCTCAATCCATACCTCAACTAATACTTCTAATTTCCATTTCTTTGCTTTTATTTTGGGGAATTTATGGAACCGTGGAGTGACTTATTTGAGAGGTAATTAAATTAAGTGCAGCTACATCATTAATTAAAAAATGTAGAAAATTTTACAAATTTAGAAGCCGGGCTTTTACGAAATTCTTAAATCATCGATAAATAAATACGCAAAAGTGAATCCATCGAGATTTGAATTAAAGGATACATATTGGATTATAGCAAATTAACATAAACATTGAAAAATTTAGATTATGATTTAAAGTTTAAATTGGTATATTTTAATTTTTCAGATCCGTTTCCTCGGCCCTTCCACCCTCCCCACCACCAACTTCCCGGCCGACCAGCTGGCTTGGTCGTCTACAGTCCAGGTATATCTTAAAACTACAGTATCTATATCTAAGTCTCAAAGCTAAAATTCTCAATTTCCATACTAATTACATGACATTTTTCGTCAAATTGCACCTTTCATTAAAATATTCACAGGCTCAAAACGGATCGGTGAGTAGAGGTTTTAGAACTGGGCCCCTTAGAATTCAAATGCTAGCGAAATCGGATGTCACAAAATCTCTACAAAAATTTGCATTTAGACTCGCCTTCTGTGCCCTATGCGTCTTTTTGCTGGTGTTCGTTGTGACGGTGTTGGTCTTGCTCTCTTCTGCTCAACGGGCCGTTTCTGGATCTTAGAAGTGGACCTTTGAATATTTTAATTATATTGATGTCTTGTCAGTAAGATACAATTTAACCTATTTTTATTTATTTCCTGATTTGTAAGAAACGCGAAAAACTGCTTCCACGGAAGTTATTTAAGTTTACAACCGTATCGCTGTATTCCATGTAATCCTGAATACATTCCTACATTTTTATTGTATTAGTTTAGCAAAACCGCGATCAACTTCCAAATTAACCTTGCTGCTATAATATGTTTTTCGATTTACAAAATTTCAATTTCCGATTTTTTGCCGGTCTCACCAAAGTGCCTGTTTTCCCCACGTATTTGTATATTTTGTGTTATTCTTATTACCATTCTGCTATTCGCTTATGTTAGCTCGTTTCCTCATTGGTGTTAGAACTTTAATTGCGATGCAAAGATGCAAGATGCAAATATATAATAAATGTTGCAACGAAAAAAGTAGATCCGAATCGCAAAATTGGCATAAGCTCTAGAATAAAAATTTGAAAGAGCAGTAAATTCTGTAAACTTTTCATTTTCTTAAATATTTTGTATTTTGTATTTTGTATATTTTTATTGTATTTTTTAATGCCATGCAAATACCAAAATAATATCATATTTTATTGAGACCCGGGGAGTTCCGCGGGGTCGGGTCGATAATCGAGCAATCGTCACCATTATGTATAACAGATTTGAATTCCCGCATCCGCGGCGGACTAGCGTCAGTAAGAACAAGGAGACAACCAGAGAATATTCAAAATTCTAGTACCATCGTAAAGTACACGTAATCCTGAGCCGTGGGGAGGGCAACCGTATTTTTTGTAAGGGACGGGTTCAACGGGAGAGTGAAAATAATTTAAAAAAGTCAGAAAATTCAGAAGACACAGGTCTCGGGGCGAGATGACAGCTAAAGGGGGATGACTAGGGTAGTTTCAGAAAACTTCTGAATTCAGCTTCAAGATTGTATGCCGCTGCGAGACCTGGAGATCGTCATCTTGAGAGTGTAAGAAGTATCGGCCCGTAGTGGAGCGTGGTGTGTGGTGTACACATTCAGGTGGTGATGAGTTGGGCGAGCTTCTGGAAAGGATACGGTAATTGGGGGTGGTTGGGTTTGGCGAATTCGGGGACCGGAAGTCGGTAAAAAACGAACCTTTGCGTATGCGACAAAGGAATAAGCTTGTTGGTGTTGTTGCTCATCGGGGAGGGTGCCGATTTTGTATTTTTCGGCTAGCATTCGGCCCTGCATTGAGTGGCCGACATCTTCGAAGGCTTGGGTAGCATCGGTGCCAGCCTAGAAAAATTGAAATAATACAAAGTTTAAAGTTTTTGATGCTCCACAGGTTTTTAAGATGTTTTTAAACTTACATATTCTAGCATGAGCTCCATGCTGCCGGGGTGCTGCTCAATAAAGTCAGTCACGTCGAGCACATCATTATGAAGGATCATCCAGCACGAGCTGTAGTCACAGTGCTCGGCCACTTCTTCACGGCTGATTTGGCGTTGAAGGATAGTCATTTTGCTTCGCTAGTCCCTGAGGGGTACGGTAGCGAATAGTGTTTGGTAGGCGTTGAGTAGGTAGGTATTGGTAGGATAAGCGTGGTCACTGCAGTTGAATCAGCAGGAACACATCTGGAATTGTGAGGATGAGTTTGGTACGGGGATGAAAGGTATATAAGGTGAAAAGTACAGGGTGTAAAAAGGGGCGGAGCTTAAATGGCATGTGATTTTGAGAAGGGAGATTCTGGATGCAAAGTACAAAATGTTGCCTGAGGTGATGAACTTTGGAATGAATTTTCCGGACAATGGATAGAGCTGAGAAAACCAAAATTCGTGCGTTTATAAAACAACCTTTGCCCTACAAGATTACAATACCAAAAAACCAATCCCGAAATCCCAGGCTCAATCCAACTGCAAATGCAGCAGACCTCGGCCATCAGTTCAACCCACTTCCCCCCTTATATACCATCCCCCCCTACCCAACCAAGGGGAGGGGCTACCCCGCCCGTTCTCAATTTTTCTCTAATCACATCCAATCTCTCTCTCTCTCTCTCTCTCTCTCTCTCTCTCTCTCTCTCTCTCTCTCCTTCTATCCGATCAACCCCACCCGGACGCAGCGTGCACCCCGCATGGTCGTAGGGGGAAGGGCTTCCCCTTCCCTTTTCCCTTTTTTTGTGATTTTTTCGCGCGCCCGGCGTTGACCGTTAGACAGACAATAAATTGTTGGTGGGGGGAATGGGGAATACCCAGGTGTGAAAACGGGATTGTGATATCTCGATGGGAAGTGGATTTTAAAGAAGTGGTGAAGTTTGGATATCCAGGACAAACAATTTTTTAGAAAGTCGTTTTCAAATCTTAAATTCTGAATTAAGCAGAAGGAGCGAGAGAGAGAGAGAGAGAGCGAGGGAGAGGGGGAGAGATGGAGAGTAAGAGCGAGAGAGAGCGAGCGAGAGACAGAGATAGAGACATAAATATATATTTAGCATTCCGGTGCTATTGATGTTTTCTTATTACCTTAAAATACATCTATGACACCTACAAATTTTTAACCAACTTTAATGGACCGCTGAATCCTAAAAAATAGCTTTTCACGATGATAAAATCTATTCTGAACCGTTGAATTCGCGTCTAAAAATTAAGCATTTTCCTATTATCAAAAATATCAGAAATTTGAGTACAGTAACCTTTGGTTTGACCTTCAACTCCCCCTGCAAAATTCGACCCCTAGCGACGGGGGTTCCCCCAAATGTCTGCACTCCCCCGCAATGCCCTCAGGGCGATTCTATCGATACCGAGCGGCGTTGATAGGCGTATCGCGGAGTGTTGTGTGATGGCTGTGGTGTACGGTGCGGCCTTGAGGGGGTATCCCCATGCCGTAGCCACGTGCTCCACCCTCCATTGCCTCAAGGGTTTCCCAAATCATTTGATCAAATATGAGGGGAGCTGCACCACGCCTATTATCCAGCTCTATCATCTATAGACGACGGGTGATTGGAATCTCGGGCAATCGGTGCCTTTCGTAGCCCTGAAGGGGGTATCCCCAAAGGAGGTGGAGGTGCAAGGGAGGATGAGTTTTTGGACTTTGAGACCGGATTAAAATTCTCCTAAAGGATTTCTGCTACGGTCTGTAGTTTGATTTCCTCAATAATCTCTGCTAGTTTATCTAATTTTCTGAGCGATCGATGTTAGTTTGTAAAAATTCCCCAAGAATCACTGCTAGTCGGCTTAAACTCCTCAAAAACTAGGCTAGACTGCCTAAATTTCTTCAAGAAACTAGGCTAGTTTACCTAAATTCATCAAGAAACTTTGCTAGCCTGCTTAGATTCCTCAAGAAACTCTGTGGATTCCCTAAATTCTCCAAAAATCAATGCTAGCCTGCATAAATTCTCCAAGAAACTCTGCTAGATGGCCTAAATTCCTTAAGAATCATTGGTAATATGTTAATACATACGATTTGAATAAAACAGCATATAGAAGAAATTGTAAACAAGAACATTTCAAAAGTTATCTTACCACACACCGCCCGACTCAGCCATCCCAGGTGGAAGCCCCCGGTCGACACAGGCCAACAGCACCATACATGGAAAATGCAGAGATACAGGAGATGAGCGGTCTAAAAGCGATACCTAACTAATACAGCCCGTCTCCTAATCGCTCTTTTATACCCTCAACCCTATCCCGCTGCATTGTTGGTGGCTGATTTTCATTAATCGCCCTCGTGCTCCCTCTTGGAAAGTGCATGTTATAGGGCTCCTTAAATAGAAACAAGATGCTGGGGCACGGGGGCTGCATTATGGAAATGTGCACTTAACGTCATTAAGAAGGTAGGAAATGTGGGAGGGATTTTGTCGGTTTGGAGATTGCTAAATCTTTATAAAATCTATAAAAATATGTTAAGTGTAGTAAGTTTATCTTTATATGAATTTAAAAGGGCTAATGATGTGAAGGAATTGCTGCGTTTTTCATGAGGTTTGATGTATTAATTTTAGGGCTGTAAAATCCTAACATTTCTTTGAAGCGGTTTTTGCAACAAGAGCTATTTTTGAATTTCATAATGAAATATTTATGTAAATTTTTTCTAGTTTAGGGGATTTTTTTAATGCATTAATCGAAAGAACTAATAAAATGCAAAATATTTCTTTTTCTACTTTTTCGTAGTTTTCCTGTTCAAGATCACTTTTTCCATCACCCTAGTCTGCCAGACAACCTGCAACCCTTGCCCCCCCTCGCAAATCCAGACTTGCATGGGCCGATCTAGCGAAAGTTTCCGCGTTTGAACCCTCCAATAAATCACGGTGGGAAAATGACCGTACCCCCTTCCCCCTTGGCCGGGTGGGGCCGTCCATAGGTGTAGAGTGTTCGTTGCTCTACCCCCACCAAATACACCCATTGTCGCGTTCACGTGGCGAAGACGCTGGCTGCTGCCAAGTCGCCCTTCTCTCTCTCTCTCTCTCTCTCTCTCTCTCTCTCTCCCACCGCTACACACGTTTCGTTGAAATCGTTTGTCGACTGACTGACTACGGAATTCCCCCAGCGCTGCCTCCGCGCTCGAATCGCCTGCGCACATCGAAAATTGGGCGAAGACGGGGTGGCGGGGGCGAGATTTGGGCTTTGAAGGTGATTAAAGGGATTGGAAAGTGTAATCTATAAGGCGATACTTCCGGTTTGGCGTTAGGACGCGTTGTGGCTACGTCGTGCCTACTCAACATGGCAGTCCTCTCAAGAACCACTGCAAATCTTGCTACCTATCTCGGCTGCTGAGAAAAGAAGAGCTGTAGAAGAGCGTCCTGAACACGTTGCCGTCGCGTTACTCCCCCTCTACACATCAACATAATCTGATTACCCCAAACAGCTTGTTGCCCTTCTCCCCACAAATTTCGCCGAAACCCCGGTCCAAAAAACAAAAAGAACTACAGCGCCGTGTGGGGGGTTGTTGTTTTTGGGGGGCGAGCTCGACCACGACGATGTCGCTGCCGCACCACATCCCAAGGGCGATGAAAACAAATTGGCATAGAGATTTCTTGGAAATTGTACGTGGAATTGAGGGGTGATGAGGGGTGAGGAAAACATCAGGAGGGAGGCAAAGTTCGTGAGGTTGGTGTATGGAGTGGGGGAGAGCTTGGTTTAGGCTTGGCTTGGGCTTAGGCTTCGGCTTAGGTTAAAGCTTTGGCTTAGGTTCGACTTAGGCTAAGACTCAGGGGCTTGCTTAGGGGTAGACTTAGGTTTGGGCTTAGGCATCGGTCTGGGGCCTAGGCTTAGGTTTGAGCGTACGCTTGGGCTTCGGGCTTCGGACTCAGGCTTAGGCTGGGCTGAGGTGGAGCTTAGGCTTAACCTAAGCGTGGCTTGCCTTATTGCTTAGGCTTCGATTGTATAGATTTATGTGAAGCGTCGGTAAGTTCAAGATCAGCTGTGGCTTAAGTTTTCCAAGCGTTAATATATGCCAAATAAGCCGATCATCAAATTTTAATAGTTTTTTAAATCAATTCCGGAGTTGAAACGCTGAATTTTGGCTAAAAACGATCTTATTCAATATTTTTCAGTTTCCAGGCCATATCGATTTCCCGAAATCTTCCGGCTCCCCGATGCCACACCTGTCTACCCCTTTCAAACCGTGTCTGACCACCAAAACCCTGCTAATTAGCAAGTGTCTCTTGCTCCACGGCCTCCTCCTCCTCCTCCCCTCTACCCTTCACCCCCGCATCGTTCCCACGACACCAACCCGACTGAATCGCGCATCGACGAAATGGCGAGTGCATCCTCATCAGCCCCCCCTAGTCCCGTGAGTGTATGTTGACAGCATCTTCACGTGAAAAACCCAATCTCAATATCCTGTTAATCCTCTCGTCTTCGCAACTCTCAATTTGCTGACTGATCGGATCTGAAAACTGAGGGTCCGGATGGACCTTTTCGGTTCCGATCAGGGGAAGAGTTGCGAACTGAGCGGGATAAATGAGTTGAACTCGGTGGGAAGGGGAGTCTGGGCTTGGAAAATTGTGGGGTGAACGGTTTGAGGGGACCAAGGATCGTGAAATTAGTGTGTAGTTGGTTTGAAGTGGGAAAAGAGAGATCTGTCTGTCTATATGACTGCCTGTCTGTCTGTTTAGGTGTTTATTTGTTTATCTGCCTGTTTGTATGTAATTCTGTCTTTTCTCTCTCTTTCGCTCTCTCTCCCTCTCTCTCTCTCTCTCTTCTCTCTCTCTCTGTCTCGCTCTCTCTCTCCCTAACCTCATTTCCCATCCATTCCCTTATCCACAGATGCAAATCCCATCCCAATCTTGAGTCACATTTTAGCGGGGTTGAAACTGTCAAACTGTCAGCTCCGACCGTTCACATCCCCGATATGACCCGACCCGATGGATGAGGGAAATCACGACCCTCGCCCGTGCTAATCAACATCTACAAATTGGGGGAGAGGAGCGATGTGGAAACCTCGAGTGCTGCAAATCTCGGCCCAAAATAACAATATTTCGCTGGCGAGTGGTACAAAGTCCTTGAGTGAGTAGCAATTTGCAAGGCGAGGCATTGGATCTCTGGATTTACCGTAATCCCGAAATAGCCATGGATAGCTGCTTGCGAATTCCGGTAGTTAATTTTGTGGCCGGTTTATATAGATATTCCTTATACTAAATAATATATTTCAAACGGCTTATCGATTACGACATGTAATTCCGGCGTTTAAGGCTTATGGATTTTGCCTTGAATGGTCCTTCTAAATCTGTAAACTAATCTTATGGGTTTATAAAAGTTGCTCGAAATATTTCAGGTGTATTGTAGTATTTTAGCTATCCAATCACGCTATGTAATTCCGGGATCGGACAATTCCGGAATAGCCTTCACTTCACCCTAAAAAATTGTCAAATGTATTTAAGCGGCCTTGGGAAGACGTAGGTCAACCTCTGTATTAGTTATGCTTTATAGTGTTTCATGTGGTTGTGCGATCACGACATGAAATTCGGAGCTTCCAGGGGTTGTGGATTTTACCTTTACTTGCGATTCACGTTGCAATTCCGTTTTTATGGCTTCTAGAATCCAAAACGCCAAGAAAATGCGTTTAAAGAAACCAGGAACCCGCCACCCCTTTTTCCACCAATTACCAGATAACAATCTAATTTTGACATCAGACCATTTTCTCGGCGGCCATTTTTCTTGTTGGCAACCATCAAACATGTGATGAATTTCCCGCGCGCACGCACACACCCACTTTTTTGCAACGACCAGACACGGAACATGTGTCTATTGGATGTTGCCGTGGCTCCTCGAGAAGAGGGGAGGCTGAAGGTTGCTGCTGAGGAGTAGGGGACTGTCAATTTGGATCAGGATCTGGATCAAATGACTTGTCCCGTTCTTCTTCTTCTTCTTCTTCTTCAGCATCTCATCTTCAACCATTCGCCTCCCCCACCCTTCCCCAACATGCTATGGTTGTCAACAGCTCGTGACCCGAACCCGCTGGCCATGCTCCAAATGCAGAGCGGGCTGCGGGAGAACGGGGTGTGGACAGGACACGTGCTTTTTGAAGCTCGAGGTTGCGGTTATGAAAGGGGTCAAAGGGTGGATAAACAATTTTTAAAGGGATTGAGAAGGTTGGGGAAAGAGGGAGGGGTAATTTTGACACATTGTTAAGCGAGCCTGACTTACGGTAGCATTCAGGGTACCTTAAATAGAGTTTCAAGCTATTGCTTTCTCTTTAAAAGCGTGACGTAAACAGTTATGTTCCATTAATGCGCCGTTTGCAGGTGGTGCTGTTTTTAATAAGGTTTTTTTACTAGGACGATTCCGTGCGTACGATCGCGTTCCGGCAAAAAATTACCATGCTATTTATTAAGACGCTTTTACAGTCTCAAAAATTATCATATTTTAGCCAGTACTGCGCTTAAAATACCGTATGTTTATTTTGTATTCTCCAGGTAATAAAGTATTTTACAGCTGGCACTATCCCTTTAAACGGTACCTACAGGAAGTACGTGCGAGTACGTATACTGTAGTTTGAGTCAGACGACCCCTGCAAGGAGAAAACCGTCCTTTTCCGGACTACTGCAGCAGGTCCGCAACTCTACAGTATCCACGGATTTCCGCTCGTCTCCTGCAAACGCGTTTTTTGGATGCAATGAAATTAAACATACGACTACATACGTATACTGTAGCTTAACACCAAGGAATCGCTACAAACACAATTTTTTCCGCTTTCCCAGGTTACTGTAGTTGTCAAGCGCATTTAGCTATTCAGATGGCTGTAGGTTGCAAAAATAATTAAAATACTACCGTACCCAGAATCACCAAAGTTGATTTTGCCGAGGTGCGTCTGGGAATTCACGCAAAACAGTCGATTTTTGCAATATCTCCACCTTCAACAATCTCCATTTCCGCCCACCACTCAAATAATGTACGGGCATAAATCAAGGATGGCAAAAAACGGTCTCCCCACCCCCATTCCCCCACCCCACCAATGCCCAAATTCACAGCCATAAATTGTAATCTTCTCGCCAGAGAGCCCCCGGATCGGCAGCCAACCGATCTTTTACCCAAAGGAAGGGATGTGGACTCGTAAATTGTGTATGGATGGACCGGGGGTCGGAGCGGATGGGAGGTGGCCCCCCGTACAGTCGCACCCCACACCCCCGCTCGTCGCATCTTTTGAGATGGGAGCCGCGCTCTTTCCCAAGGCCTGTTTATTGTATTTTAAAGGCCGCTGGAAGTGGGGGAACGAACGGATTTTTGAAGGGATCTGGAGGTTAAGGTTTTATTAAATAAACATTATTATCAAAGAAATAGTTTAAAAACTCAATTTTAAGTGTTTTGGAAGGTAACTATACTACGAAAAATCAGAATCGGGGAATTAGATTCGAGAGTTTATTAAACTTAAATCGAGGCGACTAAATTTAATTTTATTAAATAATTATTAATCTCGAAAATACATCAGAAACGCCGTGTTAAAGGGCTTTGTAAGTGGTGTAAGTTTCCGAAAACTCACAACGTTGAGAATTTATCTGTAGAAGGGAACATAAGTTTAGGCTTTTACTTTTACTAAATAAAAATTAACATAAAAAACTCTGTAAAATGTATTTTAAACCAATTTACAGGGATTTTGATCGAATTTAAGCGCATCTACAGCGCTCGAAAATTGTCGAAATGTCGAAAAATCGAAATATTTTGGAAATACAGCGTTCAGCGGCAAAATCCGGACTTTCCAGGTCGCAGCACCGCGACACGCAACGCATGCATCTTGACTACCAAATATTCAAGGGTGCTTTAACAGCCGCAAACTGACAATGACGCGCATTAATGAAACTCATGATGAATTTCATCTTTCCAATCCATGTAAAGTTTACCCCAAGACTTGCACGCATCCCGCAACAGCGTACAAAAATCCACGCCACCCGATCTTCGAACCGTTCCACGGCAATTCTACAACCGATCCGTCACTTGTCTCTTTCATCAACGTCAAGCTTTCCATCCAAATAGTCCTTCCTCCCTTTGATTGGCGCCGTTCCAGCATTTTCCGGCCCGGGCGGCTCTCCTTCAAAAGTATCTCCACAGCCAACTGAAAAGTGAAAGATGCCAAGGAAGAGAGAGAGAGAGCGAGGGAGAAAGAGAGAGAGGGAGAGAGCGAGAGAGAGAGGGGGAGAGAACGATAGTCACGGAAGGGTTACGGTATCGAAGGGAGGGGCTGCCCATTCCGCGATGCTCCGTCGTGACACTTGGTTGTTGTTTATGAGTGTTGGCCAAATTGTTGGAAAGGCGGGGGGTTGCAGAATGATGTGAGTCAGCCATTAATGGTTGGAGAACTGGGGGAGAAGATAAAAATTGCTCCTGGGGATCGGCAAAATGCTTTGAAGTGTGGGGAGCACGAGGTGGGGAGCACGAGGTGCGGTGGAAACTCAAATATTTTTGAAAAGGAAGGGTTTTAAAGGCGCTGTAAAGCCAGAAAAAGATTTTTAGGTCCTTAGGAAAGTATTGAATGCAAGAATTTTACATTTAATGGGCCATGCTAGAGGTCAGCTTGATCGCAATACCATAGGCACTATTCGAAAAGCGTCTATGCTGTCCAAACGTCTTTAAAACTACAGTAGCCCGCGGAATTACATAAATTAGACTGAGTGAGAGCGAGAGAAGGAGAGAAGGAGAGATAAAGAGTGAGAGAGAGCGAGGGAGAGAGCGAGAGAGAGAGAGAGGGAGATAGATAGATAGATAGATAGAGAGAGATAGAGAGAAGGAGAAATTACTTTGGACCGATAGAGCTCAATTAATTTTTGTGGCTTTTCGCTGACTCAAAGATTCTCCTATTTGTACGTCCCTTTAAAACGACAGTATGCTCTCCCTATGATCACAAGGTATCGATTAATCCCCCTGATTTTTTTCTTGCTCAATATTTGTTTACAACAACCTATCATCACCGGACCATCCGCGACGGTTAGTACAGGGGGATCCCCCCAAAAGACAAGAAGAAGAAGACAATGGCTTTCTGTCCCCTTCCCTCATCGATCAACTGTCAACCCGGAGCGGCGCGTAGTCGGCCATTTCGTCGATGCGTACCCGGGCGCCACGTGAACCCGGCCACATCGGAATCCCCCCAGCATCACCACCTATCGATGCTCTTCCTCAATAAACACCAACCAACCCCCCCCCTCCCCACCCACCTCCTCCTCCCCAACACCACCACGATCTAGGCCGAGGGATAGGAAAATCAAGACACTTTTCTTTCCGCCGGCCTTCATTTTTTGGCGTAGGGTGGGAAGGGGGAAGGCAGCAATACACACACCCGGGGGACTTTTCTGGATTTGGCTTTGTTAATTCGAGGGGGAAACTGTCAAAACGTCGAAAATTGGGATCTTGCAAGTCAGAAGCTAGAATTTTTAAAATATCGATTTGTCGAAATCTTGGATTTCCATCATCTTAGCAACATAAAGCTTTAGGAATTGCATGCATCCAGCATATGCAAATTTGACCCTGCATCCAGCATATGCAAATTTCGGGGCTTTCAAAATTCGAGATTCTGAATGTTAAAGATATTTCGAGACAAATGTCTATATTTTATCTACCCATTATGAGTTAAGATATGGCGAAAAAATAATTAAAAAATGCAAAATACTTCCTATTAATAAACCAGAATGTTAATATATACAGCTGGATCCAAAATTGCTTAGATCCTATTTAAAAGCGTCTTTAGGGAAATATGCCAGATTTTGCAATGTCTTAATATAAAATATAGCTAAACCACAAACTACCGGTTGCTAAAAATTTACATAACATAGAGAAGGTACAGGAACTCATTTTTGAAAAATTTGTCCAGGTCTTGGCTAAATCAACCTAATAAGGCTAGACTGCAGCGATTACTGCGATCTTTTGAAGCCACGGTTTTGCACCAAATTCTACCATTTTTTAACCGATTTACCCTACAGGATAGGCTATCCCGAGCAACAAAACCGACCACCCGGGTCCACTTGTTTACTGTTTTCGTTTCAGGAAAGTTCCGCCAACCCACCCAGCCTAGACCATCCGTCAGCCGTCGCATCTACCCGACAACCGGAAGCCACGAAAATAACGGAATTAGGGGTTGGCAGTAAATTTTTTAATGATTTTGATATCCAGCAGGGTTTGCGAGACTTCAATACTCCTTTAAAATTTTAAAGAAACTTGGTTACCAACACTTTTTCTTGCGGGATGACTCATCTTTACCTAAAAAAAATCAGGTTTCTATCCGATTTGTACCGATTGACGTGTCTGACGTAATCCCCCTGGGCTGGTTCATCCAAATCCGGGCCCAAAGTACGAAAGATGATTGTGTAAAATAACGTAAAGAACGGAAAACCTTGGGAAACAGGGAACTCTGTCCGGGTGATCCTTTGTACTTTACAATACTAAATCATGATCGTCATTGAGGATGCATAGTACTAAAAGGCTATAAACTATAAAATAAACTTTGGGAGCGTGGACCGTAAAAATCCTGGGTTTCATTGAATTGAGTATTAATCCTACTATATATAAAAAAAAGTGTCTGTGTGTGTGTGTGCATTTGCATGCAACTTCCGTCACCGTGTTCCAGTAGTATCTCAAGTGGGGAAGTACTTCAGGGTATGTTCGATACGTCATTAGATGCGTAATGGGCTGGAGATGACTGCACATATCAGATTTCACAAAATATGATGTTTTCGACATTAAGATTAAGTTTTTCATGGAAAATCGGACACCCCGGTTTGTTAGGATCAAATTAGCATACACCGGAAGTCGCGGTAGCCTATTTAAAGGGACGGCAAGAGCATTTTTCATTTTTCGTCATCCGAATCCGGGAAAATCATGCAAAGCCAAGAATATCATTGGAGAAGACGAGGCCAGGGTTGAAAAGCCGCGAAGCGGTTTTTCAACCCTGGTATTCTTTATAAAAATGTCAAAAACGATTAATAATTGTTCAGGATTTTTTACATATTAAACCTTTTTTATGACTTTCTGGTTATGCGTTTTTTTATCCTACTATCGGTGGTTTATTATTTATTATATAAATTCTATTAATCATTAACTCCATTTTCTGATGGATCCCATTTCGTCATGGTTTTAACAAAAAAAAACCTAATTTCCTAAACGCCACGAAACACCTAGTGACGCACTCATTTACAATTTTTTCACGATTCTCTCCTCCCGCCAAAAGCTTATCATTTTCTCGTTGAATTCTTGCGAAAATGGGGAAATCCTCGGCGGATTGGTCGCTCTTTGCAGGAAGCGGCAGGGAGGCAGCGCGGTTTTTTGCGAAGATTTATGATCGGATATGGGTCCCGGAGGGAAGTTTGGCGGAATGGATCGGGAGAGGTGATCGGCTGGGGCAAAGTCCGGAACATAGACTGAATGATTTTCGTCATTTAGTGATGGTTGAGGTTGTGTTGAAATTGGGGGATCTTAGATTTGGGTTTATATGTATAAATTGGGTTCTGGAAAGTTCTACATACGGAAAGAATTTTCTTGCTTTCTCTCGCTCGCTCTCGCTCTCTCTCCATCCTCTGTTTCTTAAAAAAAAGTTCTCCAAATGATCTTTTCTCGTTGCTTATTTTCCTAAAAGATCTCGGTTTTTTTATGTGCCTGCAATTTCCTCCACCTCTCCGCGATCTCGCTTTCTCGCCTCTGGCTCTCTAGCTCGCTTTCTCTCTCACTCTTGCTCTCTGTCTCGCTGCCGACAATCCTGTCTTCACTGTCTCAAGTAAAAAATCACCGCTCTGCCGAGGTTCGTGCCGTCTCTGTCTCTCTCTCTCTCTCTCTCTCTCTCTCTCTCTCTCTCTCTTTCTCTTTCTAACGCCTCTCTGCTTCCAAAAACTTTGTAAACGCCTCAACAACCGTTTATGCTAACCTCTATCAGGCCTTCGCGAGAGAGACAATCATCAAAAAGGAGGATCCAGAGAAGAAGAGATGTGTATTTTAGAGGGCTTGAAGCGCGAAGGGGGCACCAAAGATCATAGTTTTGAGATTCAAATTTTTTTCAAAGTGTGGTCCGGCGGTGCGTGGCGTGATGAAGATGGTTTACTTCCGGCCGAATCTAAAATATGCAAATGGAGTGAATAATTTAAATAATTCAGATATAATTAAATTTATCTTAGGGTAATTTTTGGCCTTTTGAAAAACGACAAGAAAACAGGGCTTACCTTAATCGCTCGGCGCCGTTCAACGTCTCGACGAGGCTTTGGGTGTTGGGCGAGCGCTTGAACCTAAAGAAAATATGTCAGGATAAATTTTATTGAATTTTACATGGGTTTTTATGGTATTTTACTTTAGTGCGTAAGAAAAACAATGCAAAAATTAAATAATTCAAAGAATTATTATAAATCCTTGAAAAACCTACGGTCCATACTCTCCAATGCTGAACGCCGGTTGCACAAATCCATCGTCATTGATACTAAAGAAAATTGTTTATTGATTTTTGACAATTTATTAACACAACTTTAGCTATTCTGAGTAGTGGAAACTGATTATTTATAGTTAACTTAAAGCTAAATTATAATAAAAAATCTCTTACTCAGTGTCCGGGTCGTTGAACATGCTCATGTAGCCCGATCGCTTACCGTACCTAAATTTGGATTTTTTAGAAGGTTGGTGGATGTGAAAATGATATTTTATAGATGTAATACGATAGATATACGTTTAAATTTTCTTAATTGAATAATTTTGCGTAAAACCACACCTCAAACGGCCGGCTCCATTGAGCGCCGAGGCGAACGCGTTGATCTCGTCTGATTTTTTGGCCAATGGTACACATCTGGAATGGTTTTTGGGTTACGGTAGGTTACGGTAGGCTACGATATGTCACTGTAGGCTACAGTAGGATACTGTATGTAGTTTAAAGGTGCAGTAAAGGAAGAAAAAACTCACGCAACAACGGCGATGAGGGCAAGTATCAAGGCGCTGAGGAAGCCGGCCTGCATTTTGAAATGTGGATTACCTGAAATATTTGGGAAAATTAAACGTAAAAATTTTTATAAACGGATAAAAAGAATATAGAAATTTTATCAATAATAAATATAAATTCACAGTGATCTTAGAATAGTAGGGGCCAAAATAGAAGGCCCAAACTGGGGTCCTTATGGACGTAAAATCTTTTCAACGTTGTGTCCATTCAATGGGTACTTCAAAACCGAAGAAAAGCCGACTATGAGGTCAAAACTTAACCTCAGAATGGAGGGGAAAAGCCCCCCTCTTTAGGTAGAGACTTCCGTGTGTGCCGTGGGAATGGGATGAATTTCGGAAGTGTAAATAGCAACCCCCCGCCCACTACTCCCATTCATAAACCAAAATATTTTTTGGGCTATTAGCAATTGAATGAACGTTCAAAACTGAAGCGAAACGGCAAAATCCTGACTGCAATGGTCCTTTAAGTCGCTTCTTGGAGCCTGTGCTTTGCTCAGATTTTTTCGAAGTGAAATGATCGGAATTTGAATGCATACAATCCATAGAAATGAGGAGCCAGGAAAGCTATGGCTAAAAAGAGTTCCGAGCAAAGATATATAGACACTCACCAGATTTATCCCCCGCATCGAAAGGAGCCATTGTCTGGCTTCTATAGCCCTTCAATGGCTTCGAATTCCGGAAATTGAGATTAAGGTTTGTGTAGCTCTTTCCGAAAAATTTAGTTCCTATGAGGTAGTTTTCCTTAATGCGCAATTGTCTAACCAAGATGACGCTCCAACTACGGTAATTTCGGATTACGGTAGGAGCTCCAAATCATCATTTCGGAAGTCAAAAAAATTGTTTTTAATACTCTATTATGTTCGGATCACTCGGATTGCGGTATTTACCGCCACTTCCGAAAATTTCGGGATTACAATATTCAAAGTATCAACGTCCCCCGATTAATGATGATTAATAAATCGAGCCCCAACTTTAAAAAATTACCGTAATCCCAGGTTACCACGACATTTCATTCCGTCATTTTGGAAGTAAATCAGCCTCTCTAAAGTGCATATAATGCAGCAACAAAAACCCTTGAGCAACAACCTCCAATTCTTCAATCCAACCCCGAAATTAGCTTCCCCCACTCCGGGGGCGAAAAGGTGCCGTATAGCAAATCAAAAATCATCCAGCCAAAGAAAGCTCCCTTTCTCTTGAGGGTGCGTGGGATTGGGTGGTAGTGGAATCTTCAAGATTGGGCCCGGGACTGGGAATTTTGGACCTCTAAGGACCCAACGTGGCGGAGGGGGGCATCCGATTATGAGCGTGGGTGATGAGAAGGTCGAAATCTCATTTCGGCGGGCCACGGGCGGGCCACCACTGGGTCCCCTCGCCACCACCAAAAACCCGATTATGCCTCGGTCATTTCTCAGCGTGGAAAAAGGTTTGGGTTGGGTCCCCGTCATGGTGGGTTGCGCCGAAAATAGCTATGAGATTAGGGTTACGGTGGAGGTGGGTTACGGTAGTTAAGAAAAATCATGCCTACCGTAGATGGAATAAAAATATTTCGCATCGAACCAACGGGAGAAAAATACTATAGTACACACTAACTACAATAGGCTGGTATTTGCTTTAATGTCTTGTTTAACAATCTCTAATTCCATAAATAAAATAATGCATCAAAATTCTGACAGGTATCATTCAGTAGCAATCTTTCATAGACTTCACACTCACTTCAACGGTCCATTCAAAGCCTAAAGCGACAAATAAAGCGCCATTAACAAAAACTGCAAATAGTGCATCGTCCTTAGTTCCAAGAGCTATCTGGCTTAAAAAAACGATCGTACGAGTTTTAAAACTAAAAAATGAAATTGAAGTAAAAACGCAAATTGCCTATACATGGATTATGTAAAAATAACGGTTAAATGCAACAGGGCGGAACCTATTATCCCTGGCACTCCATTTAAAAACTAAGACCCAGGAACCAAATCCAACTCCCAGAGCAATGAAACATTTTATATAAATATGCCAAGGTCTCTTTGGTTCTCCACTACGCGCCCGTCACCCTCCCCTCTTCATCCCCCCAGTCCCACCCCAAAACTGCTAATTTCCATAATTGCTGACTGGGGTGGGGGAAGGGGGGAGAAGTCGCGCGAGCACCACTTAGCCTTCACCCATTCATTTTCTATGGGTCTGAAGAAACAGGAAATTGTGATTTTCATGCGGGGTCATGTTGCTTTGGGCGATTGGACGTGGGTATTGAAACAAAAATTTATGGAGTTTCAAAATTGCGCGGATTGTTATTGGCGACCAAATTTTGTGCTACAAACTACAATGTTTAGCTAAAGTCATAGAAATTTAATTTTAGTAATTTAAATGTACTTGAAACTCCCCTAAATCAAAAGACCAGCCTAGTTTTTCTGGTAATCTGACTTTCAGGTCCCTTTTAAAAATTGCATACATGAGAGGCTAGCACCAATGCCTTGGTGTATATATGAAAGTTGCTCGCAGTTTAATCGTATATAAAAACAGTGTGAATACATAATTAATTCGTGGATCTATATACTATATAAATCCCGCTATCCTCAAAACAATTTTTTTTACCTACCCAACTAATTTTTGCATATAATTCCCACAAAATTACATCTCCAGAAACATGAACAACCGTTCACTGCGGTTCCTCCCGGAATTATGCGCATCTGAAAGACCCCCGCGACACCTCGTTAATTTTTCTCGCCCCGCCAAACGTATATCTAGCCTATAATGCGATACCGAGCAAGAATCACGCAGTATAGTCTTTAGAAATGAAAGCCAGCATTAATTCTGCAGTACTCAAGACACTTGACATGGCAAAAAAATACCTAAATACCCTTCCCAAAATGACCTGACAATTTCAAAACCAACAAACCACCAATTTTCTAGACCCTCGCCGCCGGGCTAGACTAGCCACTTCCGGGGGGAAGCCAAAAAGTGGCGTTTTGTTTAAATTATACCCTAGGCCAGACTCTCGAGCCCTCACCTCTTGTTTGCGCTGAAATGTGAAGAATCAAGTTGCGAACAAAAAAAAAATTCACGGGCCGCGCGCTTGGGAGCAAAGCGCAAAATTGAAATATTTATGGAAAACAAGCGGCTGGGAATGGGTAGGCTAGCAGAGAGTTTTGGGGAATTAGGGTAAGAGATAGAGAGAGAGCGGGAGAAAAAGAGAGATCGAGAGAGAGAGCGAGAGAGCGAGAGACATAGAGATGGACTTTGAGAGAGATAGATAGAGAGAGAGCGAGTGAGAGATAGAGAGCGAGCGAGAGAGAGAGAGAGAGAGAGAGAGAGAGAGAGAGAGAGAGAGAAATAGAGAGCGAGAGAGACAAAGAGAGAGAGAGAGAGAGAGAGAGAGAGAGAGAGAGAGAGAGAGAGAAAGAGAGAGAGAGAAGGAAAGAGACAGCGAGACAGAGTGAGAAATATCACGCGTGAGAGCTACAGGCAAGCTAGAAAAGATCATTTAGGAATATCATCAACGTGCAACAACGAGATAGCTAGCATAGAAACCCTGTTGAATCCGCGGTCTAACGAAGGCTAGCTAGCAGAGATCACGTCGGATAGGGTCCCACTTCCCTCGGCCCCGCCGACTTTATTAAAAAAATGTTGGTTGGATGGTCGGCGGGGAGGGGGGTCGGCTTTTATTAAAGCGGACAAGAACAATGACGCCTGATGGCATTTGGATGGCCACTTTTTGTGTGGCTAGTTCTTGGGATGAATAGAGAGGACGGAGACAAATTAATCTCCAGTGGCTAAATCGGATTTTTGGACAATAGACGAAAGGGTTAATTTTGGATTCTGGCGTTGGGGAGAGGATTTCAGTTTTTGGGAATTTTTTGATTCCATTGTCATATTTTGTAAAAGCATATACTTAATATACGTGATAATAAATAATCATTTTAAATGGATCGTGACAACAACGTTCCGGATCATTTTTTAGGTCAGGCCCGTTTTTCAGATTAATCTAGAAAACTGTTTCAGACTTGTCTACAAAATTCTTAAAGAACCAGGGTTGAAAAGCCGCTTCGCGACTTTTCAACCCTGGACCCGTCTGCACCCATGATATACTTGGCTTTGCATAATTTGCGCGGATTCGGATGACGAAAAATAAAAATGCTCTCTCCGTCCCTTTATATAGGCTACCGCCACTTCCGGTGCATGCTAATTTTTCCCTAACAAAGAGGGGTGCCCGATTTTCCATGAAAAAATGAATTTTAATGTCGAAAACAGCATATTTTGTAAAATCTAATATGTGTGCAGTCATCTCCAGCCCATTACGCATCTAATGACGTATCGAACATACCCCTAAGTACTTCCCTTCTTGAGATACTACTGGAACACGGTGACGGAAGTTGCATGCAAATGCACACACACACACACACAGACACTATTTTTTTTATATATAGTAGGATTTAGTAATATTTTCATAATTTGTAGCCCCTCGTACTAGCGTATCCAAGTGGAAATTCTTCCGAAAATGACGCCCGCCCGCCGAAGCATGCAAATTTCGCCGACGGGTCCCCAAGAACCGGAACATTCCCCGGAAAAGCCTGGGTCTAATTAAAAAATGGGATGCTGAAAATAGGTGTAGATCGGAGAACGCGAAAACTCGTAAAAGCAGGATATCAAACTTCAACGCTCCTTTAAAACGGGCGAATTCATAATAACCGGATTAAAATTTGCGTCATAAAATCGTAGGTGGTTTCGTAAACTTAAAAATACGTAGTTTTTGTTTCGATACAACGAAATACTTTGAATTGAATTGCTGAGCTTCCGCTTGAGAAGCACTGAATCCACCGCACTCCCCCGGATTTTCCGGATTGAAACGGAAAGGGGAGAAGCTGGGAATCCACGGGAAATCCCCGGCGATGCGGTCTAGGTCTTTTTTTGAGACTTTATAGTCTACTACCCGCACCACACATCATACTTTAAGCAACAACTGGGCGAATGTGATAGAATTTGTTTGCAAGCGAATATTGCTACCCAAAATGGGGCGACCCGCCGCCTA